TGCCCTGATGACGAGTCCCTCATAACGCCGTGTCCTTGCTCAGCGCTTGCCACCTCAGCAATGGGCCTGCCAGCTAGTTCACCCTTGGTTTCCATCGGTGCCGTCGGCTCGGTTCCTTCGTAACGGCGTTCCGTAGGGATGAAAGCATCGTAGTATCGCGGCATTATGAAGCCGAGCAGGATAACGATTATAGTGATTATGGACAAGATGAATCCGGCAATCATCATTGGGTCGTACCGTAGAGTGTGGAATTCGGGGAAAGCGAAGGAGAAGATGATGGCGAGGACGGGTCCACTGAGATAACGGAGGAGGAATGGCATGAAGGCTGGTATCGTCCAGTTCTTGCCCTGGCCAACGATGACGTTCAAGTCGCGACGAAGTTGATTACCCTGCCGTGTTTGTTAGTTGACTGAAATGTCAGGGTCGTTTGGTTGGTTCGACTTACCGAGTAGAAGGCGAGGAACCAGAACTTCCGAACGAAAGTATTCCGGTGCCAGAAAGAAGGCGCTCGCGCGGTGGGAGTCTTTGCCGCGAAAACAGCAATTACAGCCATAAGGAAGTAAAAACCGATACCAGCACCGGCGCCTGCTCCGGGTCGGCTGATGCCGTGCGCGAGACTGATACCAAAGACTTGGCCGCCGAAGAAACCAACATTGTATATGACAAAGGCGGGCAGGCCGGTTTCCTCAACGATGTCTCTCCATCGGTACACGGTCGTAGCGCTGGAAACCTCGCTCCAGACGACAAAGATTAGAGCGACGTTGTTAACCCAGCGATCAATACCATCGAGAAGGTAGTAGCCGAACTCTGTGCAATATGGCAGACACCTAATTCGTCATAGTCAGTTTGCAGTTCTCATCCAGTAAGCGGGAAGTCATTGCTTACATCAAGAATGAGAGGACGGTTAGCGCAGTAACAACGACAGGTCTCGAAGCCTTGACCATGCCAGAGTCGCAGATAAGCGTGACAACAACGTCAAGCATGACGAAAGCTGAACTGAATCCGAGCACAATGAGCGTGAAGAACAATAGAACGGCCCAAAAGTTCGCTCCAGGCATCTGCAGCACCGCTTCAGGCAATGTCAAGAAACCCACAACAAAGGCGCCGAGTCGCTCGCCATCCTGTGGCCACCTTTCAAGAAAGCCTACAACGCCAAAGACGGCGAATGCAGCGAAGTTTTCGAAAAGTACGTTGCTACCGCAAATAAGACAAGCGTCCATTACGGCGTTGGCGTGTTTTGTGTTGTAACTGGCGTACGACGTGAAGTATCCGAAGCCGATACCGGTGGAGAAGAAGACTTGACCAACAGCTGTCTGCCACACGACTCCCGAGGCGAGTTGGTCGCTCCTCCAAGTTCTCCAAACAAGAGCAACACCTTCACTCGCATTGGGAAGAGACAGCGCTCGGCCAACGAAGATGATGGTGGTAACAATGGGTAGTCCCATGGTGAAGTATACGACGCGACCGGTCATGCCGACTCCACGGAAGATGGATATCCAGATCAGGAACCATACAAAGATACTCCAGCCAACAGTTGAACCAATCAGAGCTCCGTTGGGATAACCGGTGAATGAAGCTACGGAATTGCCATCCGGCGTTAGGCTTCCCTCGTTGATTGCTCCGCGCTGAAGAACGTCTTTGTAGTAGAAGTCCTCGATGCGGCCTTCCCATGGCAAGGGACTCGTGAAACTTTCTTGGAAGTATCTCATGATCCTGGTGGCAAAGTAAGTACAGGCCAGACAATATTTCTTGGAGATACTGCATACCATGCCAAGTTAACAGTAAAGTACTGGACGACAAGGAAACTGACGATGACAGGCCCCATACCGACTCCTTTGAGACGGCGGTTTATGTTGTTGACTAGCGGCAGATGGTTAGTTGGTATTCCATACGTAATCGACACATGAGCTGTCTTACAGGCAATGACGGTACCACCACGGTACGCTTGACCGATTGACACTTCTAGGATGAGCGCCGGAATAGCAATGAGGAAGACTGCTAGAAGATATGGAATGAACCATTGTAGGCCATAGTTGTTGTACAGCACACTCGGGTATCTGAGCAAGTTTCCTTGTCCTGCGCAGCCGCCCATGGCAGCGAGCAGAAAGGCTGCTCTCGAGGGCCACTGGTCACGGCCATCTTCGCTTTTCGAGGCTTGAGGCGCCAAATAGCTGCCTATCTTTCGCAGAAATCGCATCGCCATCTTGTATGAACAGCTATCTTGCGAGAGTTGAAGTGAGGTGTAGAAGGCCGGGTCTCAACAAAACGGAAGTATCGGGATAGAGCAACGATCCCAAATCGACCTTTCTTCGGGAGACTGTGAATTGTGGGCGGACCTAGCCATTACATGTGAGAAGTGAAGTACTTTTGTATTCCGTTCAGAGCAAACGCCCCACTACGTCCGCCAAGATCGTACCAGTCTCTTCGAACCCACGTTCGGTTGCTGTTGGTAATGGGTTGCGATTTCCCTGCATTTCCCAGTTCACATCGCATGGTTGACCCACCCGATCCTACACCGGGGGTACGACTACGGCAACCCCGACGTTAACAATCGCCATGACACAAAACAAGCTTTTCCTGCAAGATGGGTTTTCTTGCTCACAATTCACAAAACCTCATGGGACAAGAACATGGTTTCCAGTGGCTCGGCGGGGACCGCCGTTGATAGCCAAGCTTCCGCCGGGGAGGGTGTGGAGAAAAGCTCATCGGCAAAGGCGTGGCGTACGTAAGATGGTTGGGGTCGAAAGTATCCCGACAAATCATATTCTGTCTACCTGCCGAGTTCCGCGTGCCAATGCTGGGCGTAGCTCGGTTCCGCCGCAGCTGTCACGTCACGATCGCTCTTTCTTCCGCATTGGTTCGCGCTTACCATTCAAGCAATTCCGAGTCAGTATGGGAAATCTCAGCCTCTGATGGCGTGCTCAGGAACCATCGCACGGGGAAAGAGTGAGTCCCTTCATCCAACGTGCCTTTGTGAACAGAGAACTGTGGCAAAGCCCGACAGTCCCTTGCGATAGCCGATATAGCCGACTTCAGGCGTACCATGCGATCCGCGTCGGACGCGTTGGCTTCGCGTACGACGCAAGTGTGGTGAGCCATGCTTCGTAGCACGTCGGCAACAGTGGGGCAGCCCACCACTTCGGTAACATATGCAGTGTTTGGTCTGGGGGTGGGTCTTTTCAGTGATATCATGGACGTTGGGTAATGTGCTCCACTCGAGTACATGACCGTCGAAACCTGCAGACTTGTTGTGGTTGATGTATAGAGCCCAAGCCGAATGTTGGGATCGTGCACTCCGGGGCGATCAGGTGTCCGAGTCGTGTTGTGCCTCCCACTGAAGATGTTTGACCATGGCCTTTTCCGCTTCAAGCTCGGCTTCAAGTGTGTTGATGCGATATGTCAGCTCCGTAATCTTCGCTTCCTTTGCCTTAACTGTGCTACGACTGACATCGCGACCTCTCTTGTATCCTTCGGTGTTCTTGGCGTGTCGAACCAGGAGAGTTCTGAGCTCGTTTTCGGTAGAGTCTGCGAGGCGTGTGCTACTGTTCTGCAGCAAGTCGAAGACGTCTTTGACGATGTCGTCGTTCACTGCATTTCTGAACCGATTTGGGGTGGGGGTCGCGTCAAACGAAGACGACGGAGTTGCGGTCTGACGGTGCTCGTTCGCATCAACGTTGGATGAAGGAGTAAAGAGAGCGCCCCCTGGTGTTGGGTGTCTGGGTGCGAACGGGTTGTCTCCTGGGGATCTTCGGTCGGTTTGGGGCGTCTGCAGCCCATTAATTCTGGAGCTACTGCCTGTGTCCATCTGCCATGGGAGCTTCTGTCGTTTGGGTGCAGGGGTCGTGAAGTTGGTCGTCCTCGCGGCCTTGCTCGGTGTCTCTGCCTCGACCATGGCCTGGTTCAAATCATCATCGTTAACCTGCCCGAGGCCATATTCGTCATCGAAATCATCGTTGCTAGGTCGTGTTCGTTTGCGACTTGATGCGGCTGGGTTCGTTTCGATCGTGTAAGGTGGTGGAGGGGAGGGTTGACGTCGGGAAGGAGTGACTGGGTTGGTGGGAGCTGGGTTGGCTGGGCCGGGTTCGGTGCGAGAGTTGTTTGCGAGGGCACTCTGCTCCCTGGCATGCGCCTGATCATCCCACAGAAAGAACTTGCATCGGTCCTCCGCATCCTGAGGCTTTTGGCAAGAGCGAACTGGGGCGCGTTAGAGAGCTAGCCCTTGACCAGTAAAGTAGAAGTAACATACACCATCTTCCCTTGTTCGGGCCTGCTTTCTTGGTTTCGAAATGTACTGCTGGCAGTCGGGGACTGCAGTCACCTAGCCGTTGTCAGTGGTGCTCATGTCTTGTGGGAATGTTTGGACTTACAGTGCCAAACACCGTTCAGGAACTGGCCCTTGGGTGGCCCGCCGCCGCCGCTACGTCCTCCTCTAAAAGCAGACATGATGATTCAGGGAGGATCAAATCGTGATGATGTCAGTGTTGGTGCGATACTAGTACGGAGGGTCATGTTTGTATCCAAAGTAGACAGAGGTGGCTGGTAACAAGGCGGCGGCTGGGGCTACGGTGGTCCGAGCTCGAACCCTGGCCAGCGGGGTGTGAGGTCACCTCAGGCACCGCACCGCGTTCCTGGGGCGAACGCTCCACTTGGTTCCCGCCGTATCTCGTATTGACCACTCGGAGGGTTGCTGGCCTGGATGTACCTGCAATCAATCGTCGACAACGAAATTCAAATTCGACCCTTTTACTGCCGTTGGCCCCATCCCGGCTTGGACACGCGGCCGCCTCCGCAGCTGAAATCCGGGCATGTTCTCGACCATGGCCCTATGGCTCCCCTTTGGCCTTCTGTCCCGCATCCAATCCCGCGCACCTCGCACGCTTGGCTCCCATCCCGAGTACTACCATTCACGATAATCATGTCCTGTGCGGCTGTATAGATGCCACAGCGAGATTATTGCTCCACCCTTTCCACATATTAGGCATACTGCCCTCGCCACAAACATGCTCATCCGCTCAGCGCGACAGATACCGCCGTCGCTCTTCGTCCTGCTTGTCTTCCTCGTCTTCCTAGGATGGCAACTCAGTCAAGGTCCGAGCCATGAAGAGCCTCCACCCCCGCCGCCTCCTCCGGCCAAAGGAGATAATAGGCCGTCACGGATCGCCGTCGTGACGTTTGTTACAGATCAGAGATCTTATCTCCATCTCTCGCTCAAGAACAAAGACCGTAAGCCCAGCCTTGTCGGGAAATCGCACTGAATGAAGCTGACGCATAGACACAATAGACTACTCACGACGTCACGGCTACGACTTCATCACCGACTTCGAAGCGCACTCCGAGCCGCGCAGCCCTGTATACTGGAAGTTCGACATGGTAGAGCGGCTGGTCAAAACCAACAAATACGACTGGATATGGTGGCTAGACTTCGACACACTCATCACTGACACCGGAGTCGCAGTCGCCGACGTAGTCAGAGACGAGCTAGAAAAAGCCGAGAATGCGAATGAGGTCGACTACATCTTCACACACGACTGCAACGGCCTGAATCTCGGATCCTTCCTCGTGCGCGCGCACGACCGATCGCTCGAATTCGTCCGTCGCGCACTCCAAATACGTGACGAAGCTGAGAAGAGTGACGACAGCAAGAGCTATAGCGAGCAAGACGCCATGGTGCAACTGCTCAAAGAGCAACCATATGTCAGCAGACACGTCGTGGCGCCGCAGTCAAGGCTAAACGCCTTTCCAAAGGACATACCCTGTTTCGAGAACGAAGAGGGCGAGTGGAAGCCGGGCAAGTTCGTCCTGCATTTTGCGGGCGCGTGGGCTCATGTTAAGGGTGAAGATCCCACCGGCCAGCTCATGAAGAAGTATGAACGAGACATCATATGGGGCAACTGGAAGGAATTCTATTAATGGTACACATGCGGACGATTTCGGACGTGTTGGAGTTCAAGGATGTACACGATATCCAGGGTCATCATTCTTACTATGTACTGTCTGCCCTCGCATTTGGAATCTCAGACGGCAAGAGCGCAGTGTTATCTATCATTTCAAACACACGACGCATTCATTCATGTCATGCCACACACGTTCAGTTTCGCTTTACACCCGACAACTTCTCAACGTCACGATCAGTATACCATGAAATCACGATAGCGTAGGGATTACATCGAACACATCGAGCAGTCTTTTCATGTTCTACGCAGTGGCACGGCCTTCAAAATCTACTTTCTCAACCCGATTTATTCAAAACGCAGTGTATATCCCCGCCGCCGCCCATTTCCAGGTCGCCTTATGAATGACGTTGGGTGATTTAGGATCAAAGATTACCGGCGCAAATGCATCGCCATCGGCTGGGGTGCTTCGGAACACATGTGGTGTAGGATGGTGTAGTTTTGGAGAGAGGCCTCAATGAAGAATGTATAAAAGGAAGAGCCAGCGAGGTAGGTATAATATACCCCCACGGTCCGTTCGAGCGCTATTCCTGTTTCGTTCACATGCGCAGGCACATTTGTCGATGTGGTAGGACTTTTTGTTCCACACTCGCTCCAGCCGTGGCATCACCAGACCCGCTTTTGGAGTTCTGCGCCACATCATATCAAGGTTTCTGGCTTTTGAGTAGACTTAATCGAAGAAGGCCAGGCCAGCATCAGACGACTGTATAGTTGTTTGGAAGAGCAGCATATGAAATCCAATTCGAAGTTTTTGGACGACATTATCTCTTGCTCGGTTGGTTTTGGTAATGCTGCGGCAATGTAGAGGTATAGGAAGGTAGAGTGAAGATGGCGAAGAGGTGGCTTTATAGACGGTATAGAAACCCAGGGAAGAGAGAAGCGGCACATCGAGGAGGTCTCTTATGAATCTTTTGTTGACGGTACGAAGTCTCCCTCACATCTGATCTCTTTGCGTTTGTTTCGATCCGTACGTTTTCTCGGCTTCCCGCCGAAGTTTCACATGCATACCTGTGTGGTGACTTTTGCTTATATCGATAGGACCTATCGCACGAAAGAACGTTGCAGTTTTCTTCTTTGGGTTTGAAAGAGCAGGCGCAGCAGCAAAGGCATATAGCCTCGTGCGTAGGATTTTGGAGAAAACCAGAGCCATTTCTGCGCTGCTTGTTCATTTTAGAGAATAAAGGGTGGTAATGTAAGGGAGAAGTAAGACTGAACTCGTGTCGGAAGACTCAATACCCCACAGTGACGATCTAGTCAACGTGAAACTGATACCGCGGACATGGTTTGGTCGCGTCCGCCGACGCCGACATGGTACGGAGACGCCAAACATTCTGGAGCGCCATCATCGTGTCGCATGGAGATTCCGTTTTGCCGCAATTTCACATGGCAAAGACGTGGAAAGGATTTTTCTCAACACATGTACACGGAATTGGCAAGTTTGATCTACGTTGAAGTACCTGGAGCTCGTACTCTCTGACAGGAGACATGCGAAAATGCGAGTCTTCTTTTGGGTGATTTCATGTTTAACTCTTTAAGATAGAATAAGGAGCGGAATTGTGCCGAAGACATTGACTGCTATCCCGGAACTCAGAGCGGGAGTCCAGGCGCGAAGCCATACCAAGGCTACTCTTTAGTTTTAGAGGTACGCGAAGGGTATTGCGCATGAAACTGGGAGCGATAGAAGGTTTTGCAGAGCTTGCGGCATTGATATACCTAGTCCAACTTGCGGCAGTCTCCATGGCTTGAGTCCGTAGTACTATGCGGACATTGCGTTGCGAGTCTGGCCGCCTTTTTGCAGCCTGGTCCATGGCGAAAGGCAATCAGCTTTTTGGTGCTTCGTTCCAGTCATCAGGCAGGCCAAGACCATTTTGGAGTTTGGACAGAAGCAAGAAACCATGCGGACTTCGAATTCACGTTTTGGAATTAAGCACCGCAGTTTATGATGAAGGAGAGAACTCCAACAAGTCCATGAGACGTTTATATAGGCGATTTTCGACACTAGTTCTCTTCTCATAATCTTGTTGATCGACTGTTTCTTCGTGTCTCCCATCAAACGCTTTGTCTTTGGCTTTTGCGGCTTGCATCAAAGTTCGATAATTATCAGGACACTTCGGACTTCCAGCACATGATTCAAGTCATGTATTAAATTTGTATAGTCTTGCAAACGTCCACGTCGTGTTGAGAATCGACAGGTCTTTTTTAAGCGCATAGCGAGCTTACAAGCCAGTTTCAGAGAGCCAGCAAAGCAGCCATGGGCTCACCATTGCTAGCTTTTGGGTCTCTCATGACCGCAAGATCACCAGCTTTTGGATATTGCAAGGAACGAGCGTAAGATGAGAAGATTGGTAGAAGCCAGGAGCTGATTTTATACTCAATGTCGCGGGCGACAAGACAGACATAGTTCTCCATGTATGCTGCTTTATCTCTCCCGGAAACATAAGTGTCTCAACCGCCACTTTTGCGTCATTACCAACGACACTCTCGTCTTCCCATGACACTTCGGGAACGTTGTTTTTGAGCGCCGGGGCGAGGACGCACAGCAGCGGACATGTGGAATGCTATGGTCGATTTTTGGAGAAACATGATTAGCATCAACATTGCTTTTGGAGAAAGGCGTGTCGCTGTGTGGAGATGAGGGAGGAAGGCCAAAGTCTGGACCTTAAACCGCGACCAAAGAGCCAGAGCACCAGACCATGGCCAGATGTGAGCTGTGTTTGGTAATAAGACAGTATATGGAACCCGTCGTGTATTTTGAATTTGTAGTTTGTAGTCCATGGTGACCAGAGACATGGTCGGATGAACCGATGATTCTTGGAGATCTGCTCAGACAGACCGTGTTCTGATAGATCGAGTCTTTCAGGAGCGAGCCATTCAGACTTCCGCCAATAGTTTTTAGAGAAATATATTGGGCGTTTTGTGGAAGAAAGCAGAGAGGCGAGGTAGACAAGGTTTCTATATGGTGATAGCTGCGAGAATGGCTTTCCTGATTATTGCACCATACTCGGCTTGTTTTAGGGCTGTAGGCCAAACTTCTCAGGCATATAGAGAAGGCTCGTGAATTTTCGGAGGAAGTCGACGCCGCAGCCATATAATCAAAGCGTGTAGATTTGATACTCGGAGCGGCGCACAAATCATCTTGTGCATCCGGAATTGTTTTAGTCAAACATGAAAGCGAGTGTAGTGTTTTTGGTAGCAAGAGTCTTTTGGTAAGAAGAAGAATAAGAAGAAGAGGGAGAGAGCCGAGAAGGGGGCGGCTTCATATCGTGAAGCACAGATCTCCAGACCGACACATGGCAAGTTGTCTCGTAGCTTTTGAGAGAAGCCCCCAACATGTCATTTTTCGACTAGGATTTCGTTTGGTGTCCAGTAAAGAGGGCGAGAGGTTTGACCCAAAAGCGGAGGCACTGCCCATGCCAGAGTAGCATCTCGTTTTTTGGAGCAGAGCAACATCAAACTCTTTCCACGAGATTTTGAAAGGTAGAACAATTACCGGTGTGTGGAAAGAGTAGAGAAGAGGGACTGGCGGAGGTTTATATAGATCGTAGTCGGTAGCAATGCCGAACATGCAGAGACGATAGGCGGTTCTTGAGTGCTGTAACTGCATACCCCAAAAGGCTTCCAGAAAATGTTTATGTCGGCGGAGATCGCGGAGGAACATGTTCGGTTGAAAAGTCTTTTTTTGGTGGAACAGCCGAGCAGCAGACATCGTTGGATAGCACTCATTTTTCAAAACCGGAGCGCACCATGTCAATGGTATAATGCTGTTTTGATAATTGATCGGTGGACCATGGAGAATGTAAAGAAGTCGGATTTTTTTTGGAAGATATCCATATGCAGACGCGGAGACCATAACGCAAGATGACGCAAGTTTGGAAAGTTTCGAAGAATATAGGGAGTGGATTCTTCGTCTGCCCAGAACATGAGTCGCTTTTGTGGTTATTTTGGAGAGGCGCCGACGTGGAACCTAAAAATTTGGGTTTTGGTGGAGAACAGCGAACAGCACATGACATCGTGTGCCCACGTTTTTGGAAAACAAAGTTGTGGCTTTTGAATGGAGGGGAAGGACAGAAGGGAGCGAGCGAGAAGTATTTATACACTACTGGAGCATGAGACGATGGAATGTTGCACGTGCTATGGGCTGACTGCGTTCCAAAGTTACTCCCAATGATCGCTACTGCGACATCAGCAATGAACTCAACCTACCCACATTGGCGAAATGACGTTCCGTTCTTCTTGCCCAATCCTCAAGCCGTTGCCAGTAATTTCGCCGCTTTATCAATCGCCACCTTCAGCCAGACGTTCCACTCGAGACACAGGGTCAAATTCCCATCTTGAAGCGCTTCCATACTCGCCGGAAGCATTTGCGCTTTATACCCTGCATCTCGTCAGTCAACATCAACAATACGTCCTTTGTTACTTACCGTCGTCCCGATTCGGCGCATACAACGCATTCTTGTAGAACGGTCGTCCTGGCAAGCCTTCTGCTCTCACGAACAGTCTCTGCACATCGCGCATGATGCGATTCGCCTTCTGCACCCTCACCTCGTCCTCCAAAAAGGTCTTCTCAGCCGTCCGGTCCGCAAAGTCGGAAGCGACCTGTTGAAACGTCCTCCCCGCAGCCGCGAGCTCGTTAAGCTTGATCTGACGTTGAAGCTCACCGCTATCCGGCCTTCCCATCGTCTCTCCCACAAGTTCGCGGATCCAGTAATTGAAGTTGCGGGCATAGGCATCCATATCGAATGGAATGAGAGCATCATCTGCGAGATGATACGCCAACAACGTAATGAACTGCCCCACAGTAGCGTGAATACTGAAATCTGGATCAATCATGCTCTTCATCCAATGATACGAGTCGTAATTGCTATGATAGTGATACACCGGCGTCGTACTACTCGCATCCATTCCGAAGTCCAGCGCACCGATACCCAGTTGGAGAAAGGCAGTGTAATCGCTCCCACTTCCCAGATTGGAAAAGCCGTTGTCTTCGGGGCGAAAGCGGTAGAGGTCGTACCATGCGTCGTAGAGAGTTCTCTTGCCGTAGACGACTTTCCTCATGACTTCTTGGGCAAGGGTGCGGAGTTCGGGGGTAGACCCTGCGCCGGGGAGGGGACCGGCAACGCCGATGTCGACATTCAGGTAGGTTATCGCTGTGGCAGCGAGCCAGGGGGCGTGTTCTTCGACCCATTCTGTTGAGCCGATTAGGGCGTATTCTTCTGCGTCCCAGGATGCGAAGACGCTGGATATGAGTTAGCTTCGAGTGTCACGAGAGGGCTTCGTAGGCTTACATGTTTCGACGAGGCTTCCAACCAGTCTTCTGCAGCTCTCCGAAAGCCCTTGTAATCTCGATCATGATAGCTGAGCCTGAGTTCGGATCTGCTGCTCCGCCGACAATCCACGCATCTCGGTGGTTTCCGATGATGATAGTCTCGTCTGCATTCGTCCCGTTGATGATGCCAATGACGTCCCAGACTGGCGTAACCTTGTCTTCCATGAAGTTGGTGAGAGCAAGGGTAGTGCTTGGTGCAGGACCAGTGCTGTATGCTGCAGCCAGACCGCCGATCCACCCATCACGTTTGATAGACTTGCCTGATACGCCATACCCGTCCAAAGCTTTCAGAAGGGGTAGCGCATCGCGGTAGGAGATGGGTAGAGATGGAATCTTGGGAATATTTGGCGGGTGACTGACACGCTCGACCCCGGGCTTTGACGCGTATCCGGGAGTTGTTGGATCACCGGGGTACTGATTGATGGAAGCGACGGACCCTCGTTGGACGGAGGAAGGCTGGCGTGCTGGACCATCTGCTCGAGGTTAGCGATGCGCACGTACGATAAGTAAAGTGCTATGGAAGTCATACTGGGGTATGCAACCTGTCCCTTCGCCTCCTGCGGCCCGTCATCTCCAGGGTCACTGAACATAACGACTCCAATCATGCCATGTGCTTCGGCATTGCGAACCTTGACGCCACGAAATGGCCCTCCATATTTTGCAAGGGCAATCTTGCCTGCCAAGTTGATATTGGCCGCTGTGAGTGCAGCAAAGTCGTCTTTGTGGCCACGACTATGAGATATTAGCAAAAGTCGTTCATAGTAGGATGATGGGCAACTTAACCAACATAGACGTACTCGGCTTCTACCTGGCCAGAAGCTGAATAGCCATGGAATGCTGGCAACGCTTGACTCTGCGGGTAGCTTGTCGTTTCGTCCTCCGGTAGGGCATCTTCGTACAGTTGAGCCGTGTGTTGAGTGGAATTGCCCGTCTTCAGGACCAGACTCTGCTCTTTCGGGTAATTGAGGAATACTTCATACTCTACAAGTGAGGCAGGTACCCCATTCTCTGTCCACGTCTTCGCGGTTTGCTCCGCCATGGATTTGTTGCGTCCGGCAATGTGGTCGCCATGGGTGTAGTAAGAAGACCACGTATCGATAAGAGCAGTTGAGAAAGATGTGTGTAGGATCTTCTCATTCTCATTCCATACCGGTGGGAATGGTGCTGTCTGGCGAGGTACTAGAGGAAGTTGTTGTGACTGCTGGCCGAGATCGAGGCTGCGCAGTTCTCGTTGGCATGCTGTTGTCCGTTGCACGGCGGTCAGCGCAAGAAGAAGAGTAAGTATCATGATTGAGTGATATTTGTTACTGATGGAGTTGTGCTGCAGGCAGGTAGGTACCTAGTGAGTAGGTGCAAGGTAAAAGACAAGGGCACGTGCATTTGCACATTTCAACCGTGGAAGGTTCCTCATGAATGGGCAGGAGCGATCTCCCGGTCTCGGTTCCCCTCCCGATGGTTAGAGTTCTGTACAGCATGCGTCTCGTACAGTCCCTCTTGTGGAATGTGACAGGGGTATGTGAATAGCCGCTATGGTGCTGGGCTGGGTGATAGGCCAGACCGGACGGCTAAGGTCGGTGCCATCGCTGAGCGAAAAACATGATCCTGCTGTACGCAGCGTGAATGCTCCAAGGATCCTGAGATCTTGAAATGTAAATCAGGAGTAACAAATACCTTCAGGCTTGTTCAAGAGTAAATTGATCAGTCAATTGGTATACCTCTTACATGAAAATTCCCCTACTATACGCTCGCTTTTCCCACTCAAAGCTCGTTGTGGCCAGGCGTCTCCGGATCTTGTGAGACGTCTTCTGCAACCTCTTCTACCTCAATCTTGACCTGCTCTTCTACATTCTCAGCCTTTGCCACTGGCTCCTCACCAGCAATCAGAAGGGAGTCAGGTATCTTCTCCTTCTTGCCTTCACCCATGCGAATAGCGTCGACCCATTGCTCGACCTCATCAGCTCCGAAAGAGCTGCCAGAGTACTTCTTGTACCATGCACGCTTTCCGTTTGTGGCGATAAGGTGGACGCCATCTGCACTTCCGAGACCAAGCTCTGCGACGATGGTGGCAGCAAGTGGGTTTGTGGGCGAGACGCCGACAAATGGGAAGAGATGGCTGCCAGAAGCATCGTACTTCTTGTGGATGGATGCAAGGGATGCAATGGCAGTGGCTGCAGCCTCCGAGGCTTCGTCCTTGGGAAGGAGGGCCAAGACGCAAGTCTTGCTCTGTTCGGTCAAGCAAATTGTCTGCAGTTCGGCAGACTCGGATACGAGAGGAATCGTGGGCTTGGTCTCTTCTACTGGAAGTTCGATGGGGTCGGGTGTGTTCTCGTCCTTGACATTTGGATCAGGCGACTCGGTAGGCATGCCAGCCTCCTCTACAGTCTCATCCGTCGCTGACGCGGCAGCTGACGAAGAGTCTGCTAATTTGTGCGAAGCTGAGGCTTTGGCGAACTTGCTAGAGGACTTTGAATCCTTCTTGGCATCCTTCTTAGCCTTCGACTTCTTCTCTTTACCGGGTGGGCAATCTGGGTTTGGTGGGGCAACTTGGGAGAGAAATTCGACCATGGCTGCTTTGTCGACCTTGCCACCATGCTTGATGGGAGTGTCGGAACCCGCAGGAATGAGAATCAAGCTCGGGAAGTCGGTGATTCCATACTTTTCCACTGCTGCCTTTTCCGACTTCTTGACCTGTGCGACCGAGACGATGCCAGCGAAGTCAATCGCTAGGGCGCGTAGTGTAGCACTGACGATACCCTTCTCACTGAAGAGAATAGCCTTTGCAGTGTCTTTGTTCTCTTGCAGCCACGCGTCCAGGTTCTTGTCATTGACCCTCTTGACCATGTTGGGAACCTTGTCCTTGACGGCGTCAACGATGCCCTTGGCCGAACGAGGCCCCTGGTAGTCCTCCACCGTAGGCTTTCCGGGCTTCTTGCCAGGCCGGACGATCTTGAGCGTAGGAAAACCCTGGACGCCCATCTTTCCGCAGAAGGGCTTGTTCATTTCCTCATCGCAGTTGACAGCGGCGACCTTGGCGATACCGGCGAGGGATTTGGCGGCCGTCTCGTAGGCGGGCTTGAGGTTCTTGCAGTGGCCACACCATGGCGCGTAGAATCTGGGAGGTGTCAGGAAGGAACGTGACGCTGACTGGAGATGGCTTACTCGACAATCTAGGGATCGTTAGCTAGGCCTTGATGGTAGATCGGAGTTATACATACAGAAGTGTAGTTAGACTTTGCGATTACTCGGTCGTAGTCCATGCCAGAGATCTGGACGACGGCGCTGTTCTTGCCGTAGATGCTCTCAGCGTGGGCATTGAGGGCCAGCGCGGCCGTGGCGGCGAACAGCGTGGTTGCGCGGACCATGGTTGCAGTGTAAGTAGAGTTGCGAGGATGAAATGGGGACTGAGCAGGAGGGGCGCCGCTGCAGTGGTGATATAGCCTCACATGGCGGAGTTGCCAGGTTGGCCTTTTCTTTCACTTGTAACAGCTTGCCATAAGTTACATGGCCATAGCTGAGATGCGGGGAGACAGGGGTACGGAGTCCGGACTAGCGCCTATGACCGCATTCTAGGCGCCTGCATCTCTACGCATCCCTCTCCAGACTAAACACCGCGTCTTCTTAGTACACCTTCTACTCCCGCAATGGCCGACACAGTACCGGCAAAGCTCAAGAGCCTGCAGCTCGCGTCTTTCGCGAAGCGCGCTGCCCAGCTCGAGCGATTCAAGCCCATCGTCACCTACTGGTGTGAGTACCGCGCGCGTCGACACGAGAATTGTATACTAAAGCTAGACAGTACGCTTCTACATAGTCCAGAGAATCATCGCCGGTGGACTACACTCGGCTGACCAAGAATGCACCGCCTACACGACCGATCTCATGGAGAAGCTCGAGCAAGCAAAGGCCGAGAACCCCAACGAGGATGCCTTATTGGATGACACGGTCGCGAGCGCATACTGCGAACAGTTCGCCCTACAGACTCTCGCAAAGGCAGAAAGGGAGATGGCCGAGAACAGGGTCAATGGGTACGCACTACACACATAGCCTTATCGCTGCCGCTTCATCTGACATCCTCCCAGACAGACAGCCGATACCCTCCTCGCCGCCTCCACGTTCCTCGAGATCATGTCGATATGGAAGAACAACGATCCGGAGATCACTTCCAAAACCAAGTTCGCCAAATACCACGCGCTACGCATCGTCAAGGCCATCAAAGCCAATGAAGACCCCAATGCGACGAACCCCGTACAGGAAACAGCGCAACAGCCAATGTCGCCGTCTGCTCTAGATCCAAACGATCCAGAAGTCCAGCGTATAAACCAAGGCGCTCCACCTCCTAACCCATACCAACCATCCGTAGAAACAGCACCGAATACCTCCACCCGACCATCGCCCAACTTCTCCGCACGCCAAGTATCACCACCACCTCCCAACCTCCCTTCTGCACCTACTGGATACACCCAGTCATCGCACAACGATGTATCTCCAATATCACAAACCGGCACCTCGAGGCAGGGCTCTGTCGTTTCGATCGGTGGTGGATACTTCCCGAGAACAGACGCTCCTGATCCTCCTACATTCACGGCAGAGACGACGGCACCAGGTCTACCAACCGCTCCAATGGACATAGACCCCATGACATCTTCTCTGCCCACGAGCCCTCAGCCACCACAAGCTCCGGAACCATCAGACCCTGCAAGCTTCTATCAAAACCCGGCGTCTCCTGCGCCTGCTCAGGCTCCTCAGCAGCCACCACCTCAAAACCCATACCAATCTCCTACGCCCCCGCAAGTTCCGCAAAAGCCTCAGAGATTATCTTCCAGCTTCGGAGCACCCCCACAACAACATCAGTTTGCCTCGCCTTCGCCACAGCCGCCTCAACAACAGTACCAACAAGGCGGATTCTCTCAACCTGCTCAGCCGCAGTACCAGTCGGCGCCCCACCAGAATCCATACGCTCAACCACAACCTCTTGTCCAGCAAACATCGCAGGGTCCTTTCAGGAATGACGAAGATTCCATCATGGAAGCTACAAAGCATGCCAAGTGGGCCATTTCTGCGATGAACTTTGAAGATGCAGATACTGCTGTGAAGGAGCTCCGCACAGCGTTACGGGCTCTGGGTGCGTTATAGCAACGTGGTCATTCTTATGTAGCATGAAGAGGGGAGGAACATGGATCTGTAATCTCCGTATCACTTGTTAGTTTGATGTATACCCCTGTGTTATAGATAGATGCACCGTTTTCAAGAGGTGAGCCGATGTAGCTACAATGATACGCAAGCTTTGATCATGCACGATCAGAGTTTCGAACGCAAGCGCTATCTCTAGTACCTAGACGTAGTCAATCTTGATATAACAGTATCCAAGTGAAGATCGTCAAGCGCATCTGTTGGCCGTATATCCACTATTCTGCCAAGACTCTGTCGTGCACGTGCCTTTGGTCCAAAGCTTAAGAGCCGAAAATCCAACCACCTCGTTCTCACCCTCTATCGACCTTCACATCACAAGGGCGACTGCATGTAGTCATGCATCTGAGGCTCATTTGTAAAAGCTGTAATTCATGATACAGTGGCGAAGATGGCGCCCATCACACCTCTCAATGCGGCGGATATAACTGAAAAAGCGCGCCGGGAGCTGCTACTCCTGCTCGAGGGTGTAAGGTAATATCAACGTCGCAGGTCGCTGCACCATCTAACGCGTGCGGACAGATCAGAGGAAAGAAGAACCTCGTACTAGAGAAAGCTCTCGCAGGCCCGCTGAACTTGCTCGTCAAGTTCTCCACGCTCCAGGAATATGGTGTCGACAAGCCCTTCTTCCTTGAGAACGACAATGTCGACTCTTCCCAGCGCAACATCGTCTTCCTCGTCAGAGGCGAGAAAGCGAAGACTGTGATGGCTGTTGCTGGTAAGTGAAGCTTCCTCGGCTTCCTTTCCTCCATCTGCCTCGCGGCATTTGGAGCTTTGGGTCAAAAAGTAGGCTAGACAGACAGTACCCACTCTACCTAGCCAGTCTTGATCCCTAGATTGAACATAGCACTTTTTTTGGATTGCCCTTCATCTCCATGTAGGAGCAGTCTATTGTACGGTGCTAACATACTAGATAGATCAAATCAAACGTATTCGGCGAGACAGCCAGATTGAGCATGAATTCTCCATCTTCTGGGTGCCGCGCCGTACTATGACCTCGGACCAATTACTTGAAGAGGCGGGTGTCTTGGGTGAAGCTAGTGTGAGCGAATGGCCGCTGTTCTTCGTACCACTTGCAGATGATGTGCTATCGCTTGAACTTGAAGATGCTGTGTCAGATCTTTATCTTGTATGTGCTTCCTGGATCTGGTGCAAATTTGATACTAACCTTGCGTAGAAGAAAGATCCTACCGCGATCTACTTGTCGGCCAAAGCACTCATGCTTCAGCAACAGAAGTATGGTCTCTTCCCGCGCATCATCGGAAAAGGTGATAATGGCAAGCGACTCGCCGACCTACTCATCCGCATGCGTACCGAAGTAACGGCCGGTGAGACCTCTGCCGGCGGCGGACCGTCATTCCTGGGCTTAGCACCTAGTTCCAACATCGACAGCCTCATTATCGTTGATCGGGAAGTCGACTTTCCCACAGCGCTACTGACTCAGTTGACATATGAGGGACTCATCGACGAAGTCTTCAACATCACCGCCAACCAGACCGAAGTCGACTCTTCCATAGCTGGTGGCGCACAGCCGCAGCAAGGTCAGACGGGATCAGCATCGACGAGCATGAAGCGCAAGATTATGATAGATTCGAAAGACGCTCTTTATGCTGATCTGGGTGATGCGAACTTTGCTATCGTCGGTAACTTGCTCAACCAAGCAGCTCGTCGTCTGCAGAGCAGCACAGGACGCGACCAGCTTGCCACAAAGACGACTACAGAGCTTCGTGACTTTGTCGCCAAGTTGCCCGGTTATCAGGCCGAGCAAGCAAGCTTGAAACTCCACACCAGCTTGGCTGAGGAGATCATCAAATTCACGCGCACTGACATCTTCACGCGGAGTTTGGAAGTGCAGCAGAATATCATGTCTGGCGCCGACCCAACAACACAACACGATCTCATCAACGAGCTCATCAACCGCGATGTACCCCTCCCCGCTATCCTCCGCCTGCTCTGTCTAGAGTCCACCACCAACGCCGGCATCCGCCCCAAGGATCTCGAGGCCTTCAAGCGCGCCATCATCCAAGCATACGGCCCGCAACACATCCTGACCCTCGCATCACTCGAGAAGATGGGTCTACTAGGCCCACGAGGCGGCGTAAGTCTCGGTGGCGTAGGCGCGCCCGCCAAACCCGGCAGCGTAACAAACTACACACCTCTACGAAAGAGTCTCAAGCTCTGGGATGACGACGTAAACGAAGCAAGCCCCAATGACATCAGCTACACCTTCTCCGGCTACGCACCGCTCAGCGTCCGCATCATCCAATCCATCATCCAGAAACACACCCTCGCCAACGCCATCAAACCCCCCTCCGACCCCCGCGCAAGCGCCCAAGCCAACCCCCTCGCGCAGGGCCTCCGCATCTTCGACGACGCAAGCAAGTACATCCGCGGCGCCACATTTGATGAGACGCAAAAGGGCGAGGAGAAGGCTGTTAAAGCGCGGCAGCTGTTGAATGGAAGTGCAGGTGAGAAGAACAAGACTATCGTTGTTTTCTTCCTGGGTGGTGTGACTAGAGCTGAGATTGCGGCGCTGAGGTTTGTGGGCGAGAAGTTGAAGGAGAGTGGAGGGGAGGGGAGGGGTAGCAGGATTGTAGTTTGTGCGACGAATGTGGTGAAGGGGGAGGGGTTGGTGGGCAGTGCGATTGAGAAGCACAGGTTTAAGGCTTGAGATGGTAGTGATTGTAGCCGTAACAGCGCATATATGTCGATGTAGACTCTCCTAATGAACACTTTTTCTTTAAGAACGGTGTCTTCTCCTTTCTATGGCTGGCCGACATCGAAGAAGGGAAGAAGAAGTCATGCTGTGGAGAATGCGCCTTCCTCCCGGAAGAAGCCACCATGTATTTAGGTGTGCCATTGTGGATTGCTTGAGCAGAAGCATCGGCACATGCGACATCGCAGACGGAACAGTAGAAGGTCTTCTCCTCAATCGCCTTGACTTGTTTGGCTCGTGTCTGAGGATACTGTTTTGCGTTGCGGGCCTTTTGACTGGCCTTCCACCCTTCTGTAGGGCTCGCTCTCGTCTCTCGACCGTATGAAGATGCGTAAGCCTTGTCCTTCGCCCTTGTCGCAGCCTCAAGCTCCTCAAGCTCTTCCTTAGTAAGGTCGAGGTCACCCTCAACAGGGTCGAGGAGAGGGTTGTGGGAACAGCAGCTTTCTATGGCTGGCCGACAGCGAGGAAAGGAAGAAGAAGAAGTCATGCTGTGGAGAATGCGCTTTCCTTCAGAAGCCACCATGTATATGTTTCGATTTACGAACCACAGTCAAGGGCGCTACCAAAGTTGCCGAATACATGGGCCCATCATCTTGTCGAGATGCTGATCATGATGTAGCCTGGAGGTAGTCGGTGGGAGCGATAGCCACATAGGAACTAAACATGATAGAGTCCGTTGTGATCCGAGGTGTGTTGGAAGAATATCACAGTACAGAATCATGATAGAGCCAGGAGGTATTCGCTGCTCATCGCAAAGACCACCGGTGGAAAATACGGCAATGTAGTCGTCACAGCAACATTCACAACGATGGTGTATTCAGTGAAGTCATTTCAATTTCCTTTCCACTCTCTTCATGTAGCTACCTCGTGAGTTACATAAGAGACATTGACCGCTGGCATACTTTTGCAGAACATCCATTACGATCGTTTCGTCAGGCATCGTCGTGAAAGTACAAAGAAGACTTTTCCGCGTTCCTGAATACCGGGAACCCATGAAAGATAAGGAACCAAACACACCAAGTCTATCGTTAAATGCCGCAATAGATGAAACTCCGTTCGCAGCTCGCAGTCTGGGTATCCTGCACGTGCGCCCTTCCTTCCTTCCTGCACGCCCTTGTGGCGCTGCTGTCATGTGATGCGCTTATCGGGTGGAGAAGGCCTTGGTGACAGTGCGCTTGAGCGCAAGCTCCTTCTTCTTCAGGTCATCAGCGGGGGCGTCCTCAACCTCGAGCTGAGCCATGGCGTCAGAGAGAGCAGACTCGATCTTCTCCTTCTGGCCGCGCTTGAGGCGGATGGATGTGGTGGGGTCGGAGATCATCTCCTCAACGCGGGAGATGTAGGACTCAAGCTGTTGCCTTGACTCGAACTTCTTGCTGAAGGCCTCGTCGGAGGACTTGAACTTCTGGGCGTCGTTGATCATGTTCTCGATGTCGGCAGACGAGAGCTTTCCGACAGCGTTGGAGATGGTGATGTTGGCGCTGCGGCCAGAGGTCTTCTCGGTGGCGGTGACCTTCAGGATACCGTTGACGTCGACCTCGAAGACAACCTCAAGGACGGCCTCACCAGCGCGCTGGAGAAAAGTTAGTTGAAGTGCGTGAGTGTTGGGGACGCGGAGTACTTGCCATAGGCGGGATTGGGGCCAAGGTGAACTCTCCGAGAGAGGTGTTGTCCTCGCAGTTGACACGCTCTCCCTGGAAGACGGGGAACTGTACCGTTTGCTGATTGTATTTGGGCTTGTCAGCATGGTCTTATCAAAAGTGTTTCTTGGGTGAACAAACCTGCAACGGTGGTGAAGGTCCTCTTCTTGATGGTCTAGGTGCAAAAGTTAGCGAATGCAAAGTCATATAGCCATGGCAATACGTACAGGGACGGTCTGACCGCGGGGAACGACGGGGGCGAAGATGTTACCCTCCATGGCTACACCAAGGGAGAGGGGAACGACATCGAGAAGGAGGAGGTCGGCAGTCTCGGCGGAGGTGGCCTTTCCGGAGAGGATACCAGCCTGGACGGCGGCACCGTAGGCAACAGCCTCATCGGGGTTGATGCTCTTCTCGAGCTTCTTTCCGTTGAAGTAGTCGCTGAGGAGCTTCTGGATCTTGGGGATACGGGTGGAACCACCAACAAGGACGATCTCGTCAACCTTGTCCTTGGCGATGGCGGCGTCCTTGAGAACCTGGGCAACGGGGTCCAGAGTGCCAGCGAAGGCCTTCTGGTTCAAGTCCTCGAAACGAGCACGGGTGATGTTGGCGTTGAAGTCCTCACCGTCGAACAGCGAGTCGATCTCAACAGTGGTCTGGGTGGCGTTGGAGAGGGTACGCTTGGCACGCTCGCAAGCAGTCCGGAGACGACGGAGGGCACGGGCGTCACCGCTGATGTCCTTCTTGGTCTTCTTTGTGAACTCCTTCTTGAAGTGGTCAAGGAGGTTGGTGTCGAAGTCCTGTCCACCTACAACGAAGTCAGTATATGTCTCAAATGCACTTTGTGCAGCCACCTTATACAAGGGAAAAACTGAACAGGTCTGCAGACTACATTGACCCAAAACCTTGCAAAAGAGGTGACCGAAAGTCAACGTAGGCTCCAGGCTGTTCAGTTTCTCCTTAGGTTGGCGTGCAGCCAGAACTTACCCAAATGTGTGTCACCAGCGGTAGCCTTGACGGTGAAGACACCACCCTGGATGTGGAGAAGAGACACATCGAAAGTACCACCACCGAGATCGTAGATGAGGACGTTCCTCTCCTTGTCAGACTTTCCGGAACCGAGACCGTAAGCGATAGCGGCGGCGGTAGGCTCGTTGATGATACGGAGAACGTTGAGGCCAGCAATGGCACCGGCGTCCTTGGTGGCTTGACGCTGGTTGTCGTTGAAGTAGGCGGGAACGGTGATGACGGCCTTCTCAACCTTCTTTCCGAGCTTGGTCTCAGCGACCTCCTTCATCTGTTGATTTTGTTAGCCATTGCCCCGCCATGCTGGTGTGTGCGCAGATCTTACCTTGACGAGAACCATGGCAGAGATCTCCTGGGGAGAGAACTGCTTGGTCTCGCCGAGGTACTCAACCTCGACGAGAGGGCTGCCGCCCTGGTCAACGACCTTGAATGGCCATGACTTGATGTCCTTTGTGACGGTCTCGTCCTCGAATCGGCGACCAATGAGACGCCTGCGAAAGTCAGTCGGCTGATCGTGCGCGTGCGACGATGGAACGGCAGAACTCACTTGACATCGAAGACGGTGTTCTCGGGGTTCATAGCAGCCTGGTTCTTGGCCGCCTCACCGATGAGACGCTCCTCGCTGGTGAAGGACACGAACGAGGGGGTGGTGAAGCTACCCTGCTCGTTGGCGACTGTGGGCAAACATTGTTAGGCAAAGGTCTCTGATAGCAGGAGTGGCGGGCGCATACTGATCTCGACATTGGTGCCCTCGTAGTTGGCAACGCAAGAGTAGGTGGTGCCTGCGATATTGTTAGCACACACGCATCCCACTGTGGGGTAATTCGCGAAATTTACGCACCAAGATCGATGCCGATGGCACCCTCGTAGACTTCGTCGCTCATGATTGCGGTATGTGTATAAGGAACAACCTGAAAAATTGAAGAGCAGGAAGGTGTTGGAGAGAAGGTGGAAAAGAGGGTTGGGAATCTTTTTCGCGCTTGCTTAAAGGCGAGCGATCAGAGAAAAATTGGCCTGGCAGGGATCTCTCGTAGTGTCGGCGAATGACGCTAGGCAGACTCGGTTAACCTGGCGCGGCGCTTATCGATACTCAATGAAAAACCACCCATCCAACATCGATATATCTTCAAGCCTCGGCCCGCTGAGAAAGAAAACAGTCCGGACCGTGACATCGAGAGAGGTGCCCCACAGCCAAGCTTTGAAAGCTAGTGGGAAGTTTCGAGACAAGACCTGCCTATATCGTCCTCAGTCTTGTCAATCCACGCCGGTACACGCCCGGCGCTATCATTTGAAAATACTTTGGAACATTGAGTAGTACGTAGTTCTCCAGCGTAGTGGACCAGATGCTCACTCGAGACGCCGTCTCCATGAATGGACCAATATATTGCTCTTCTTTTCCTGTCAATGCCCAGGTGGGCTCCGGAACAAAGACCACAACAAACATCGCGATAGATTATGTCCATGGCCAGCTTCACACTTCTACCTATGGATCCGCCTGGAGCCGTCATACTGATGTTTGCAACTTCCAGTTTGATACTTTCTGATCTCTTTCTTCCAATGTCTTTCCAAACCCTTTTCGTATATCTACTTCTCCATTCTCAGAGATCACATGCAACCGTCTCACCAACTACCACAAACCTCAATGTCTAGCACCCAACCCTACTACATTGTCAGCAGCGCAGGCAGACTCTTCGCCACACTCACCCCCCGCATTCTCGGCGTCTTCTCCACTCAAGCTCTAGCCGTTGCCCTTGTCGAGAAGATTGCACCACGTTACGTGCGAATGCCTGAGAACTCTCAGCACCGGATCATAAGATATCATGGCGACGATGGAGCTATCAAAATCGTCCCCAAGCACAGTGATATAGTTGGCACGTCCACAACTTTTGCTAACACTGTTTTCCTGGCCATCGATGAATGTGATAACAGTATCGTCGAAACAAAGATATTGGGCACGGCGCATGACGCGTGGGCAGCATGCGAAGCTATTAAGCGTGAGTGCGGTGACTACTGGAAGTATGACATAGAATGGACTGACACCATGGGATGTAAACACGGCGAGGCGGAGTTCAACGTGTCACATCAGCTGGCTGGCTTGGATACGATTGGCATGTTCCAACATCACTGGTATGTCAAGAAGTTCGTGATCGACACTTAGCAAGAGTAGAAGGCTGCATCTTTAGAGACGTAGATTCATAGTCGAGGACTTAGTCTGTGCAGCGGGACAGAGTGGCTGAAAATGCCACCTTGGAGCACTATGTAGATAATGCGCAGTGTAGATGGAGATGTCTTCGCCGGCTGGCATTGGCAGTCGTGAACTATTCAAAATGTCTTTTTGACCGTATACTAGGTACTGCTTGTGCCTCATATGCATTTCATTCATGAGATTCACCATACCATCACATCCATGTCTTCGCCATGCCCATTATCCAACTGTTGCCTACAACCACTCTTCATATTTATCAACCGCATCCTTGTCGTTCAGCATTCCTAGATATGTCGCAAGGTCAGAATGGTACCTGAAGTTGTCGTTGCGAGATGCGCAGTTGTATCAGCCCTTTCCTTCCTCCTTTGTCCATCTCTTATGCCTTAAAAAAGTGTAGTGAAGACTACATGGTCTGAGAATAGTGCGTAGGTCGGTTTGAGGACATCATGTAGACAAGCTGGACAAAGTTATAGGCTTTACAACACAACCGAGAAGCTGTATTCGTAGAAGCTCAGGGCAGGAGATGACCACAATCCTTGTTGAGAACTTCTGACAGTAATAGACCGTACTGCTTGGTAGGAGTAGCATCAAAGGCGACAGTATGTCACTCAACAGCGAGCGACTCCCACGAGTTGAAGGAGAAGTCAAGGCTGCACACAGAGTAACGCCTTCCATATTCGATATTCATGAGACCAGCCGTTACGTCATATCCAATCCCATATCCTCTCCCTTTAGCCATACCAATGAACGCCCTAAACACCAATTCCATGCTTTAGCCCGTCTAATCCCTCTTTCCCGAGAACGCACCCCATTCCCTCCATACCCCTCAGACCGTCTCATCATGAAAGACAAAATTAATATCTCTGGGCCGCTGAGTGTTATACCTGACAAAGTTCTCATCTCCCTGCGGCCTCTCCTTCTTCGTGTTGCTCGTCAGCATACTCTGAAGACTGACACACACGCTTTCGACGTTGTGGACGGGGGACCAGCCGGAGCGGTCGAGCAGGTCGAGGCAGATGATGCCGTTGGAGTAGATGTGTGGGTGCCAGGGTATGGGGTGGGTTTCGTCGCGGAGGAAGATTACTTCGGGGGCCTGTGGGGGATGAGTGTTAGCTAGGCTTGGTTTGGTTCGGAGAGGATGGTGTAGATGTTGGGTAGGCGGGTGAAGGAGGATAGGGAAGGATGGCAGGCAGGTAGTATAGAAAGGGACACGTACCTCAATAGGATACTGCGGTGTAAAGCTAAACTTCAACCGATACGTTTCGCCCTGGTACAACGGATTCGAGTCCATAACTTGAATGTCCATGAGCCAGGTTTGGAAGTCGTCAGCCTTAATGAGAGTTATGCCTGGCGGGAGTTTGTCGTGCATCTATACGCCGTTGTGTTAGCGGCTCTGTTCCTCCGTGTGTGAATTTCGATATGCATTGCCTTCGCATCGTGGCCATATTGTGTGTGGAGGCTTCCGTGCGTCGATACGTGGAGTTTAAAGGCGTCTGACGGGTGACAATTTGCTTCGACGGGCAACGAACAATAAACGAGAGGATTACGGTACCTTTGCGAGCTCCTGTCATACACGTTAGCTTCTGTATCCCAAGCACATCGCATTGCAGTCAAGCTCCATTCCAGAGCTCAAGACCATGACAACATACCTTGCCTAACCGTTTCGACGCGAACATCTCGAGATGTGCAGCAGCAGCGCGCCTGTCAACCTGGGGTGTACGCGTAGGTATATGTAGTTAACAATGTATCCTGGGCGGACTCGGAGTGAATGACGTGTGTCGTAGCTTCGTTCCGAGGTAGCTGAACAGCTCACAGGCTTATGGACAAGCTGCGACCCTGCAGGTGGAATGGACAACGTGTGGGGGAGGGGCAACCGCGCGCGTATCAGGTAGCACCCTAGGATCGAGAAAAGCGACGGAAAGTTCGACCGTAGGATTGGAGTGAGCGACAGGGAAGAGGCTGGAAGGCACGAGGTAGAGGTGATAGGATGTGTGAATTGTTTGCGCGGTCGCTGCCTGATGTCTCGGTGCTCGGCTTTGTTGCGAAGGTTGGTTCACGCGGCGCGCCAGGGCGGAACGCGGCTATCCAGGTACATTTTGCTGTGAACCGTCTGGGCATCCTCATAGTTCACCAACCATGCTCTTCAATACTAGATGGCACTAGAGATATCTGTAGTGTATACCGCATCCACCCAAATTATCATTGACGTAGAAGTAAGTTTCGCCTTAGGGAGTACCCATCTATCAACATTCAACACTGTGTATGTAGCAACACGAATCTGAGCCACCGCTGGTAATGGATATTTTGTTGAATATTCGAAATAGTATTGACCCATGATATCTCTCGCGCCATACGCCCGCCATACCGTAGCTTTTCCTAGCCAAGTTATACACACCTGCAGACGACACTGCAACGATAATCATTACTAAAAACGCGATGTAGAATCAAGAAGAATACGCTCAAGAACGTCACTCAAAGCCTACGAGTAGAAGGCGCCCTTCTGGAAACTCTCAACACCCATATCGCCCGCCTTGCTGTCCACCTTCGGGCCAACCTTCTCTGGTGCCGATCCTGGAGCTCCGGTCATGGTGGCAGTCCTGCTCGCGGCGCTGCTGTTCGTCATTGTCTGTGTTCTGCTACCAGCTGGGCTTCCGCTCTGGCTTCCACTGGTAATCTGTGCGGGTGTCTTGCGTTGAATAGGCTCGAGGTAGATGCCTGGAAGGTAGCCCATGCGTCCGTCTCTTGATCTGCACTTCCACCATTCTGATGCGTTGCCCATGGGATCGCTCTTGCTGAGCACCGCGACCATGTCTCCCTTCTTCACTGACAAGTCCATTGCGTGCATGTTGGCATTGGGTGTGAAGTCATAAAGCGCGCGGCAGAATTCGAGCTTGTTGGGGTCGAGGGGCTGTCCTGCTTGCGGGTTCTCTAGCATCTTCTGTTGCTCTTGGGCTTCTTGTGATCGTGCAAGCGCCTTGATGAGCTTACCCATTAGGTAGGGTAGACCGAAGACTGCGAGCATGAAAACGATGAATGGCTTCTTGGAAGGCTTTGCGGGGGCCGGCGAGCCGTCGGGCATACGTCCGTTGAAGGCTGCGAAACTTGCGGGGGTGAGGGCGGTCGCATCTGCTGGTAGGGGTCGTCCGGTGAGCTTTGCGATTGCCGTCCGTATCCATCGCATTATTGTGTAGATGCCCAATACCGAGCCAAGCGTTTGTCGTAGGTTTCCGAACTGCTCTGCTACAGATACCATGGCTGAGGATGTTAGCATATCGCTGAAAGTTGGAAAGGGGCGGACGTACCGAAGAATGACGAATGTGTCGCCATATATGTGCTCTGAAGCATCTGGGCAAAGCCGCCGAATGCGCCGACAATGTTCTCAATCAACTGAAAAGTCGCTGCTGTGCTCTGGCTGAATGATTGTGTGAGGCTGCTGTTTGGGTCGCCCTGCATGCCTCCCATTCCGCCGTACATTCCGCCCATGCCCATGCCCATACCTCCCATGCCGCCGTACATGCCACCCATACCGCCCATTCCACCGTACATGGAGCCGTAGCCACCCCCCATGCTGGAGTAGGGCGAGCTGTAGCTGCTCATTCCTCCATATCCGCTGCTGTAGGGGGAGCCGTATCGGTTGTTCATGCTCGAGTAGTTGGACGCGTTGCGGTTCGCGACGGTGCTGAGTGAGTCTGGTACGGATGGTAGCGGAGGCGCACTCGAGGATGTGGCTGTTGAGGTGGGTGCTGTGCTGCTATTCGATCCAGTGAGGCCTGTGTTGTTGTTAGTCGCGGCGTCCCTGACGTATCGGATGGCTGGCGGACTCACCAACCGAGGCACTCGTCGCGCCGTTGCTCGTCTCCCAGGGCTTTGGCGGCGATGGCGCAGACATATTTCCGTGTGTGCCTCCTCCGCGCTATTGCGCAGTACAGAAAGTGACTTTGCAGAGACGATGGCGGATGTCGTCAGCAAACGTCGAGAGGCTGGCAATTCGCGGCGATCGGGGCAGCGAGTTTTTGCGGGGAAACTGCGCCGGCCGAGACTGGCAATCGCTCAAGGGGCGGATCCGCGTCGACTGTGGCTGCACGTGAGCAGTAAGTTGGGCGATGTATTAGATGCGAAGACGCGACGTGGTGTGTAGACGGTAATGGAGGCGATGAGTAGATGCGCAGTGTCGTCGGCCGGGATGCGGCTGGTCGTCGTTCACGGACGCTGAGTCGCGAACAGACCTCGGTTTCTCGTGCCCGCTTGGGCAGGCCTATCCGTCAGCTTGCCACCACCCCAATCGCCGGCCCACTCCGCTGCATCGCCCATGTCCGTCTTCAGATGATTATTGCATTGCTTATGAGCCTGCCTCGGTCGCACGTCTCACGCGTCAGAACCTAAGAAATCATTGTCTTGTGTGTTCCAAGACCAATTCGATTGCACTGCTAGGTGTATGGCTACATGTAAGGTGTCTTCACATGAATATCTCAATTCGTCCAGTCAAGAGAAACCTATCTCAGTCCCCAATAGCATACAGAGAATGCACCCAGCTATCCGGATCGTATGCCACCAACTTCTGAATCGCATCATTTGACATGCTCTCTGAAAAGTCAAAGTCGTCGTCCAGCACCAATGCCGTAATGTGCGGATAATGCCAAACAACCGCAAACTTCATCTTCTTCCCTACCGGTCTGCTGAAGTAATTCGAGTCACCACCCTCCAGATTGCCCTGCCGATGTATGGTCGACTTTGCGCGTTCGGCGCCTTTGCTGAGAAGCTCGAATGCGTCGAACTCGCCACAGCCCGTTGACCAGCATGAGCAGGGAACGTTGTTGCGGTCGTTGCCGTACTGGAGGATGCGAGGTATGGCTGCATTAAGGAACCAGTAGGCCGGGGCGTCAGAGAGGAGGCCTTGGTCCGTGCCTATGTTGTCGTGGTGATCCATTTGGAATTCGATGAAGAAGGCTTTTGAGGAGCCTGACCAGCCGTAGTGAGATGTCGCGTCTGGCCTCCAGTACGGGCAATCCGCGTCACACTCTTTATCGGAAAGGATCACAATCTCGTTCTCAGACGTCTTTAGCGTGCCTTCGAACGGCTGACTCTCAGCCGCTACTTTGTCACCCCGTGGAGTGACGTAGCTGAGCGAATTTCCAAATGCACTGAACATGTCAGCTTCGAAACTTATGGAACGAGGAAATACTCACTAGTCAAAAGTACCAGACTTTTGGGGATCACCCAGGTTGGCCATGAAGCTGAGCCCGGTGGCTTGAGCCGGTGATGTAGACGTGTAGTATGCTATCCGCTTCCAATCTGAACCCTGCCTCTTCGAAATGGGCGATGGCGAGGGCGAAGGGATGTCAAAAGGTTGTCCATCTGGACGCTGTGATACTGGTAATGGGTTTTGTGGAGGTGACGGTGAGGGCGAAGGGATGTCAAAAGGCTGTCCATCCGGTCGCTGCGATACTGGTAGCGTCTCTTGTGGGGTAGAAGGTGAAGGCGAGGGTACGATAGGCTGTCCATCTGGGCGCTGAGACACCGTCAATATGCCTTGCATCGATGATGGCGAGGGCGAGGGGAATTGAATAGGTTGTCCATCTGGCAGCTGCGACACCGGTAATATGTCTTGTGTTGATGACGGTGAGGGCGAAGGGGAATCGAAGAGCTGTCCGTCTGGACGCTGGGACACTGGTAATGTGTCTTGCGATGATGATGATGAGGGTGAAGGGATCTCGAAGGGCTGTCCATCTGGATGCTGTGACACTGGTAGCGTGTCCTGTGTCGATGATGTTTCCGGTGCATGTTTTAGCGTTGGCGTCGGACTGACGTAAACCTGCCCATTGGGTCGCTGAAAGATGGGTTCGGGCTCTTCGTTTTCAACGCAAGTACAGTTCGGATCTGGAAGTGTAGAGCCAGAGATCGATTGAGCACCAGACGTGGGCAAGCACGGCAGTGGAGGACCTATATAGGTTGTGTTTGGTTCAGACTGTGCAGTACCAGTCGGGGGGCAGGGCGCCTTTACGGTCACCGTCCGTGTTACTGTCGTCGAGACGCACCTGGACGATGTGGTGCATGCATCCCTGTTGAAAAGACTGGGCCGGCCAGAAGATGTCGACTGTGTCAGCATAGTAGTAGGGTTTGTAGCCATTGGTGTCTCTGGCTGCTCCAACGATCGCCGACGGTTGTAGAAAGGTACTGTAGTTCGCTTCCCCATAGCGCGCGCGTCACCAGGTAGTTGGTATACGGCGAGTTGAGAGACGTTCATCGGCCCGCGAAGGTGCATCGACACCTGATCTTGTCAGCGATGTAACAACTGGAGCCCGAGTCAAACTATACTTGTCCGAACAATGGTGTCAGTGGTCCTGCGCTAGGATAGTCGACACGTTCATGACCACAGATACCAGTCTTTGGATCGACTGTAGTGGTCCGATTGTAGGCACCAGGCTGGCTGATGTTGCGGTAGGTGATGGCCCAGACCTCAGAACAGTACCAGTTGCCATCAGAGGATAGTTCAGCGGTACCGCGACATAGCTCTTTGGCGGTTCTGCTGTAGGCAAGGGGGAGGAGGATGACTGCGCTTAGTATTGTATGCTTCATGCTGAATAATTGAAAGAGGCTATTGTACGAGCAATGGGCTGCGGGATGTGTGTGAAGCGTGAAAGAAAACGTTGGAGTGAGGTAGGGTTGTGATGAGCTGGCACAGGATCCATGGATGTATTATTATTGATATATTTGACTATGGCGTGACGACATCTAGCATGCGGAAGCCACGAGCAGTGTACGAGAAACCGCGTACGCGTGAGTCGACAAGAAAGTGCGATCTGACCGAGGCTGAAGGCGACAACAACCCAATGTAATTGAAAACTGCTTCTTGTAAGTCCATGTCGCCAGTAAAGTATCATGTAAATAAAGAAGTTGATAAGATCGCATATCAGAATATAAGTTGAATGCACTGGCAACGCCCTTACGGGTGTGCCTAAAATAAGAGGTGCCAAAAGTATGGGTTGTCATCATTGTGCGATGAAGAAAACGGCGGAAGTACATACCGAGTAGTAGATACAGGAGGAAGCGCAAGTAGGGGTGATCTGTATATCTGGTTCTTGTTAGCACTGGTCGCACGCAAGATTCCATGCAGTAAAGCAGAGATGGCACTTGTCAGAATAGAGATTTATGCACCGGCGAAGTTCCGAAGAACCCCGCCTAAAATAAGAGGCGTCGAATGCACTGGATCTCATCATTGTGATGAAAGGGAGGGACTGGGTTGAACGTACGTTTGGAGTGGGCTGCTGTGGCTGGCTACATGGTGAGCAATTCAGAAGCTGTATCAAGCGGGTTGCAAGGCGCGAGAGTCTGGCTTCAACATAGCCGAGACAGTCGCGGTTGCACGCCGAGGTCAATGTTTTGACATCGTGAGGTGCAGAGGACGAGGTTGGTCGTCGCAGACTTTTTGTCAGGCAGGAGCTTTGACGCTAGTCCGTGCACGGTCCACCACAGACCTAGCCGAGCCGCGAGAAATTGGAGTCTTCGATCGCGAACTTCAACCCACGACAAGCCCACCACCACGTCTCCGTACTAATCGACCAGGTCGCCATCCGGAACATTCATTCAATATGGGTCGTCTTCACAGCAACGGAAAGGGCATATCAGCCTCCGCCATCCCCTACTCCCGCAGCCCACCGGCGTGGTTGAAGACCACCCCCGAGCAGGTTGTCGACCAGATCTGCAAGCTCGCGAAGAAGGGTGCTACACCATCTCAGTAAGAAAATGGCTTGGAAAGGAATGCACATGGAATTGGCCGGCTAACACAATCGCAGGATTGGTGAGATCCTCCGTGACTCGCACGGTGTCGCTCAGGTCAAGGTTGTCACCGGCAACAAGATCCTCCGAATCCTCAAGTCGAACGGTACGATTGCCCTATACACATGAAAGCGCACGTCGACACAGCTCTGCTCCTCGTGAGCATCTGCGCGCTATACAAAACTGCATTTGTTGGTCTAGGCTAACATTTTGCGCTTAAGGCCTCAGCCCCGACATCCCAGAGGACCTCTACATGTTGATCAAGAAGGCCGTTGCCGTCCGCAAGCACCTTCAGACCAACCGCAAGGACCGCGACTCCAAGTTCCGCCTCATTCTCATCGAGTCCCGTATCCACCGTGTAAGTTTACCCAGACTCTACCATGTCAAAAGCACGTGCTAATCATCTCCAGCTCTCCCGCTACTACAAGACCGTCGGTGCCCTCCCCCCTACCTGGAGGTACGAGAGCGCCACCGCCTCTACCCTCGTCGCATAAGCAGATGTCGGATTGGTGTGGATGGTAGTCGTCATGGTAGACATTTAAGTGGAGTTTCACGGGCATGGATGCTTTGCGGATACCTAGCAGGATCACGATATGGAATGAATCAATCAAAAGCATCACCTCGAATTGAAATATATCCAATTTGCATTGAAAGTGTCAAAGTCTGAAATTTGCTTGTTGTAATGCTGCTTGACTTGGGTATCATCCTGACGCCGTCTTATACTTTTGATGAACATGTGCCATGCGTTTCAAGTCGTTCCATGTCGCTTGCCTTCAAGATCATGCTGCCCGTTCAGCAGTCGAGCTTGGCAGATATACCGCAAAGCTCACCGCCCAAACGCGCATGCGCATGACAGCCACCTTCTCGTCCACGAGTGCTTGAGCGAAGCTGCTCATGTGACTGCCCATCCACATAGCTACCCCCCCTCCACCGCCATCATCCCCTCCCTCATCCTTCACAAGCCCATCACGTCCCCTCAATCTCCCTACTCTTCCCCGCCAAAAACTCGCTCAACCACTTGAGCGGCTTCTCCGGCTCCGCAGTAGCAAGATGTTTCATCGCCTCTAGCAAATGCGGCGTCACATGTTGGTTCAGATACACCCGCGTGGGACTACCGTGTGGAATAGGTTGTGTGGGCGCTTGCGCAGTGGGGTGCGGTGAGTTGCGCGATGAGGCTGCGGGAGTGGGTGTCGGCGCTGTGGTAGCGGTCGGTAGAGTTGGTGCGGAGGGCGGTGCGGGCGTGGAGGTGGAGGGAGTGGGCGGGACGGTTTGGACGCTGGGTTGGTGGGTGGGTGTTGAGGCTGAGGCGTCGAGGGTGGTGGGCTTGAGGGGTGTGTTAGTGTGGGTTCGGGTTGCTGATATATAGGGGCCGCTTACCGCTGGTGCTGCGCCTGAATCTGCCATTTCTACATCTGCGGGTTGGTCTGTAGGTGCTTGTTGCGCCTCGCCATTTGTGAGCGCTGGATCGATGTCGGTATTTGCGACGGCTGGGTTGGGAGATGGTTCTGCCATTTTTAAAGCTCGATGATAGTTGTTCTGTGTGTTTGACGCGAATTGGCGCGGTTGAAGGAGGTGAGAATTGGAGTTTGTGGCGTTGGGATGGCGAGTTGGACTTTCTTGAGAGCGTCTTGGTAGCTTGAGCTTCGAGCGCGATCGATGTTCGGGCTAGCCTCGGCGTTTTGGAGCTTTCCTTCACTTTCTTCGGTGGCACCACCACGAGCTCCGCTTGTACGACAGCACAGTTTCTAGACCAGAGTATGTTTTGGGGGTTTCAAGACTTTCGAGTCAAGTAGAGAATTACGCGACCCAGCAATGGCTTTGCCAGGCACAGCTAAAGACACACGAACTTCTTCACACATTCCCATCATGAGAGCAGTATCTTGCACTTGAAAACAGATGATATGATAACTATCTTACAAGCTCGTCTACTTCGAATCAAATAAGCAAGGAACCAGAACGCCCTGCTACAGAAATGCAACCATCTCGAGACTCTCTTCATCATGCATTGCTCGGCCGTAATCCATATATATCCTCCGTCGTGTTCATCCTTCATCTGCATCATCAACGTGTGCTCCTACGATATTGCGTAGCTGCAGCCATACGCATAAAGCGAAACCAAAAAGAAACAAAGCGCAATAACAGTAACTCATAGAAAAGAAGCCGTATCATGCGGACCATTCAGACCGTCTTCACACACGATGCTCGTATCCACCTATCGAGATCTTCGCTCAGAAGCATACCCCACATTCGTCGAAACAGTCGTCTTCATATCGTTATTCGTAATCACACTGTTGGTATCCCACGTCCCCGCCTCGGAAATAGCCGGGCTCGTCTGTCTCCTTGGTGCCCTCGGCCTCTCAGAACGGTGGTAGGACTTATTCTGGGACACCTGCGTAGCAGTAGCAGGCCCGTTGTTAGCGTGAGTGATCTCACTGCTTGTGTCCCAGGTGCCGGAGTCAGACCCGTCGTCAGAGAAACTGTGGTGCTCGTGCTGCTTTCGGAGTTGCTCGACTCGCTTGAGCTGCTCGAAGGGGCCGGGTGGGTAGCTCGATGGGCCAAGGTCGCTGAATTGCGCGGAGGGGTAGGGGACGTTGGTGGACACTGTTGTGGGAGGCGCACGCTGAGTGACCTCACTAGCGGTGTCCCATGTGCCGGTATCGCTGCCGCTCAGCCTTCTCAGCTGGCGGTGCATTATGCTTGAGTAGGGGACGTTGGTGGAGACGGTCGTGGGAGGCGCGCGATGAGTAGTGATCTCGGTGTTGGTGTCCCACGTCCCAGTGTCGGAGACGTCATCATCAGACGCGTCATCGTCGGACACGCTGGGTCGTCGTAGCTGTCGAGGAGGCTGTGTGAAACGAGGGGTGTTGGTAGAGATAATTGTAGAAGGAGCGTTGTAGGAAGGGTAGGGCACGTTCGTAGACACGGTCGTAGGGGGAGCGCGGTGGGTATTGATCTCAGTGTTGGTATCCCAGGTCCCAGTGTCAGACACTTCATCGTCGGAGACCTCCATCCTCATTGAGTTGCGAGGTGGTGGCATAGACCATCGTTCCGACTCGTCCACGTGTTGTTCCATAGGGTAGGGCACATTGGTCGATACGGTTGTGGGAGGCGCACGTTGAGTGACCTCACTGCTGGTGTCCCAGGTACCGCAGTCGGAAATGCTTCGTGATCGCTTCAGCTCCCAAGGCATTCCTGTAGGATAGGGAACGTTGGTCGAGACCGTGGTCGGTGGAGGACGCTGACTGATCTCAGTGCTCGTGTCCCAAGTGCCAGCGTCAGAGATGCTGCGTTGCCGCCGTATCTCCCTGGACTCTCGCTTCAACTCTTTCGAGTCTCGTCTTGAGTCGTACATGAAAGGATAGGGTGCATTGGTCGTGATGGTCGTAGGCGCAAAGTCGTGAGTCATGATGCTGTTGGTATCCCAAGTGCCAGCATCAGAGATACTCCTTTGTCTCTTGACCTCTCGCGATTCTCTCTTGGCCTCCCTCGACTCTCGGGATTCTCTCGTCAAGTTCGATTCCTTGGTTGAGTCCTTGCTGCCTCTTTCCTTCCTTCTCTCGCTCTTCACACTCTTCTCGGAATGTCTAGCGCTGCCATGAGAGCCCTTCACCGGAGTGTTGGGATATAAAGCTTTCATAGCAGCACCACGCGTCTCGTACACATAACGAGCCTTTTCACGCTCGGTTTTATCCGAACGGTCACTCTTCTCTGTCCGATGGCTGCGGCTGCTCTTCTCGGTTCGCTCGCTCTTGTCTGTTCGTTCGCTCTTGTCTGTCCGCTCACTCTTCTCGGTACGTTCGCTCTTGTCGGTGCGCTCACTTTTGTCGGTGCGCTCACTTCGATCAGTGCGCTCGGTATCGGCAGACTTGGTCGTGCGAATGCTTGCCGCATAACCGCTCTTTCTGCGAGTGTGATCCGGTCGAGGAGTGATGTCAAACAGCTCGTCCTCGATGGCGTGTTCGGTAGATCGGCGAGTGTGCGTAGAGCGGCGTCGCGAATGCGTGGTAGAGGTCGACGTAGTTCGCGTACGTTGGGGCACCAGCGTTTCGATCTCATCGATGGCATCGAACATGTGAGACACCGTGTCTACCGGCGTAGGAGCTCGCGAATCGGGATGCTCGTGGATAGTGTCATCCGTCGTAGTCCGTGAGAAGGACGGCGGTAGGATCGCGCTTTCCACAGACTGGCGATGGCGTATGGCTTCCGCGATTTCTGCAGCCGTTGAAGGTATGTCAGGCTTCGACGCAGGTTTCGGCGGTGGTGGTGGAGGCTTCTTCCTTGCACTCGGAGCATGTGAGGGAGCCAAACTCTCGACGGGCATGCCAATGAAGTTCCTGGGCGACGTAAACACGGACGTCGGGGGCGCCGGCGGACGTGAGAAGGTAGAGCCTGGAGGTGGAGGCTTCATCTTGTCATCCGAGGAAGGATTAGAGAAGAGGTTCAACGCTCGCTCGATAGCCGAGAGCTTCTTGGGCTTCTCTGGCTTCTCCGGTGACATCGGACGTGACACTGGAGATTCCTCATCCGTATTCGTCTCGGCTTTCGTCGGAGATCGAGGGGCGGGGGGAGAGGGGGGAGGTGGTATCGGGTCGCGAGGAGGCGGGCAAGCCTGGAAAGCCAGCGTGTTAGCCAAGTGATCTGAAGCAGTCTTTTCATCTTACGTAGATCTCGATATATCGCGAGCCTGTCAGAGGCTGGGTGAAGGAAGCTCGAAAGCGGTGCTAGGAACGCTGGGGTAAGGTGAACACGCGGGTGGTGTTACGTACCGGCGGCGGAAACTTGCCCTCGTCAGTCGGACTCGTTAATGCAGTGGTATGGGGAGGCAAACCAGCAGATTTGAGCTCCTCCATTCTCGTCACAACTGGCTCTGCATCATCATACAGAGCCAGCCCATGGTGGAGAATGCAGCCTTCGTCACGCTGCTCTTCGTTGTTCTGGAAGATCTCGTGCTTCGATTCGCGGTATACAACCGGGAAGATCCTGAGTAACAATTGTCGTTGCGAATCAGGAGGAGGTGGGTCATCCGTCGCTGAGCCTGTTTCTGGGCTGTAAGCTGGCCAGAACTGGTTGCTGGTAAATTGATGTTCTTCGTCGTGCAGCGCAGGCATGACGGCGGTGATCATTTCTCGCTCGAGACGAGCAAATCTCCATGTCTCCGCAGCGACCTTCACGATGCGCTTCACGGCGATCTTGATGCCTTCCTCCTCTTTTGGATCAGCAAAGTGTCGGATAGCGTTGACGATCTCCTCGACAACGGTTCCGGCAGCAGTATTGATGCGCTGCTTCGCGCCAGTGCTGGTAAAAGCAGCAAGGAGTGTTTGTTGTCGCCAAATCGCTTCTTTGCGCGTGCTCTTCTCGCGAATGTGGTGGCTCATCGAGGAGAAAAGAGAGTCGGCTTTGTCGTAGCGGCGTCCAAGACTGAACAGGAATGGGCCAAAGACACGGAAAGTAATGAGCTTCGATACAGTGTGGGCGATGTATGCGGTTCGGACTTGTCTGGAGGCAATGCTATCACCAAGGAAGGACGGTAGGTTGGACGGCACTTGCGCAAGATCCTCCGGCGGCGGCCTTACTGGAAGGTGAACGAAATGGGTTGTAGCAAGATCGATGATTTGCCTTTGAAGCTGAGTGAAGGACACCAGGCTAGACGCGATGATGTTAGCGAGCGACTCTGTACTGAACAAAGCGACAGTGAAGGGACGCGATAACAAACATCGCATTACGCGAGCGGTAGACGAGAAAGACAGTGTATGGCAAGACGTGGTGGCTTCCGTTGCATCATCACAGCCGCCGGCCAGAAGATAAGCAACTGATCTCGGTGCACTTCATTGTCCGTTGAAGGATAACGAAGCGCACCCAAACCGACCACCATCAACCAACACTGGCGGCAATGCGGCCCCTGCTACCATCGTGCCGGCATCAAGAGCGAATGTGCAAAACTGGGAATCACTTACTAGTAGCTGTCGCCCTTGCTCTTGATCTCGGCGATGTCACCATAGCATTCCATCATCTTCTCAAGTCTAGACTTCTCCGACTCGAGGTTGCTGGCAACGCTTCTGATGACCTCCTTCTCCCTCTGACTCTCGGCTCTGAGTTGGTCGAACGAGTTCATCAGCTCATCCTTCTCTCTCGCCAGTTGATCGGCTCTCGCTGCTTCTTCCCCAGCCCGGCGATCTGAGTCTTCTCGCATCTTCTGAAGATCGTCGCGCTCCCTGATGAGTTCTTGCTCTCGGTCAAGAGCTGCTTGAAGCTGAGCCCTGAGCTCAGCCGCCTCGGCAGCATCCTGCCCAGCTTGCTTCAGCTTCTTGTCGAATTGGATAGCAAGGGCGATCTTCTCCGCATCGTGTTTCGTGTTCGTGGCCTCCTTCCATTCGTCGAAATCTCTCCATGCTCTTTCCCTCTCCTCGGCAGAGGTCCTCTCCAGCGTGCGATGCACATCTTCCAGCTCTTTGTATCTGTCCTCCCACGACCTCATGGCTGCATCCAGTACCAACTTGGTCTCTTCGGCGTCTCTTCTAGCTTTCTTGGTTTCAGCAATCAGCTCTCGGAGCTCTCTGACTTGCTCTTCCAGATTCCCGATCTGAAAGTGTAGTCTGGTTGCCTCGGCTGAATGCCTGTCTTCCAAGTTGCGAATCTTCTGCTTCAGCTCACCAATCTCACCATCCTTTGCGCGGAGTTTCTGCTCTTGCTCAGCAGTTTGCCGACGAAGCAGGTCCTCCCTAGCACGCAGTTGGTTGTGAGTCTCTTTGTAATGCGCAAGTAGAACGTGCAGATCAGTCTGCGGGATATGTGAGAGTGCGTCGCCAGACACGTGTTCGATTGCAGGTCGACTGGCTAAAACATGTGAATGAAGGTCTCTAGAACCAGAGGAGTCCTGTCGATGATGTGGGCTGCCATAAGGAGGGTACCCGGGTGGGTATTGGCTCCATGATTCCTGGTAGGGAGGGGAGGAAGAATGCGACGAAGGGCCGTAAGGATTGGGGTTAGGCGCGGGATAACCCTGCTGACTCATGCCGTAGGCATGATCTGGGTAGTGGTGAGGCGGCTGGGCTGGCGGGGCATAGTAGCTGGGATGATAATTTGGTGGAGGGGCCGGATAGGTGGGCTCAACAGGCACTCGGGATGCAAAAGCGCTACGTGGTTGATGTGGGCCTAAGTGGGACCGCGACACTTCATGCGCTTCACCGCTAAATGGACGCCTCGACGCTATCCTGTTTTGTACTAGAGCAGAATCTGAATCGTCGTCGCTGTCAAAGGTGGGAGCGTGTCTAGAGGGAAACATGTAGTTAGTATCGTAATCCATCAGAGTTCGGCCAGGAACCTTATGTATCTCGAGCATGTTCGCTTTGGGTCCGGCGTCGTGGTTGACGGTCGCCGAAGAAGCGCCGAGCGACTACCTCACCGGACTGAGAAATGGAATTCACATACCTTGGTCGAGCTTTACTCATTGGCGGGCTTGGGGCCGCAGGTCTGTTATCCTCAATGAGCTGTGCCACAGCATAAGGCTTCGGTGCATGGTTTGGACCCGCTTCGTGTGTTCTAAGCTTCGGTGCATGTGGCGCGAAAGATCGATACGATCGAAATGGTCGATCAGAGACTGGAGAACGATCGTGCATGTCAGGTACTCCCGAAGGAGGTGACGGAGCACGTGCTGATTCGATCATGGATCGACGTGCGATGAAGGGTATCTCGGCTTGCTCACGTGACTCGTCCTGGGCCAGCCGTTCCAACCGTTCTGCTTCCTCTCTCTGCTCTTCCGCAAGGACATCCGCAGCTGCTCGGGCTTTCCTAGCAATTCGAGCCTCTTCGGCTCTCTCACGTCGTAATTGTTCCTGCCGGAGTTCTTCCTTCTCTTGTCGAGCACGTTCGGCAGCAGCAGCAGCTTCGACCTCTTCCTTCTCTTTCCGAGCCTTTTCGGCGACTGCAGCGGCTTCGGCCTCTTCTTGGATCTCTGCGGCCCTCCGTTCTTCTTCCATTAATGCCAGAAGCTTCCTCGCTTCGACAATCTGCTCTAACTTCTCTTGCTCGAGCCTTTCACGGGCCAGTCGCTCTTGTTCGAGCCTCTCGGTCTCCTTATGCTGCTCTTCCTTCTTGGCTCTCATGGTTTCCAGAGCCCGTTTCACGGCTTCGGCAGCTTCCAGCTCTTCTTGGGCCTCTCTTGCGCGTCGCTCCTCTAGTAGTCTGTTGGCCTCGGCCTCCTTCGCTAACCTCTCGTGCTCGATTGCTTCTTGCTCCAATCTCTTCAGTTCTTCTCGCTGTGAGTCTTCCTGGGATTGGGCGGCCTGCGCTAGCGAGGCAGATTTTTGAGCCTCAGCCGCGGCCGCTGCTCCGGCCTCAAGCCGCTCTTGCTCTCGGTCGGCATGCTGTCTGGGTACTTCGTCTTGGGCAGCTACGACGAGCTCTTCTATCGGCTCAACGTGGGCATCTGTAGACGAAGTCTCGGGAATAGACTCAGGCTGTGTGATTGTCTCAGGGGCTTCTGATGCTGATATTCCTTCGACAGGCGCATCTGGTAGCCCGACGTCCACCGACCGTTCGACTGCTATTGGAGCGGCCTCAGGCTCTGGTTCTGGTGCTGATAGATCCTCGACTGTAAAAGCTTCGATGATGTCGTCCTCATCACTCCCAGCTGACACCACTGATGGAGCCAGAGGTGCAGCGGGGGCCTCTGGCGCTTCTGGCGCTTCTGGTACTTCCGGTGCTTCTGATACTTCCGGTGCTTCTGGTACTTCCGGTGCTTCTGGTACTTCAGGCGCTTCTGGTACCTCAGGTACTTCGGGAGCCTCTGGCGCTTCTAGGACTTCTGGTTCCTCTGATACCCCTGGTGCTTCGGGTGCTTCGGGTGCGTCTGGTACTTCTAGCGCTTCGACAGCTTCTGGCGGTTGTGATACCTCTGGTGCTTCCGGCGCTTCGGTAGCTTCGGTAGCTTCGGGAGCTTCAGGTACCTCTAGTGATTCTGGCACTTCAGGTGCCTCTGGAGCCTCTGGAGCCTCTGGAGCCTCTGGAGCCTCTGGAGCTTCTGGAGCCTCTGGAGCCTCTGGAGCTTCTGGTACTGTGGGTGTGTCTGGAGCTTCGGGTACCTCTGGCACTTCCGGCGCCTCTGGTACTTCAGGTGCTTCCATTATCTCTGGTGCCCCTGGTGCCTCTGGCACCTCGACTATCTCCGCCAGATCTTGCTCAGCTCCGTTCTCATTAAGACCGCCATCCATCTGGTCTATCGATTCGATAGCTTCTTCCGCGGTGGTAGTAATTACTTCAGGTTCTGCTTCAGGCGCTAGCTCCGCTGTAGATTCTTGTGGCGGGAGTGTGTCTTCAACCGGCGTGTCTGCTGGTTCAATAGAATCTTGAGTTGGAGTAGGGTCTGGCTGGGGTGTGGACTCTTCGTCTAGTTGTAGGGGCTGCTGTTCCTCCGGAGGATTTTGCTGCTCTGCATCGGGTTCTGGGTCGTGCGCGTCTCCAACCCAAATAACCGATGACTCTTCATCTTCTGCTGTAGTATGATGCATGTCTTCAGCGCTTTGCCCGGCAATCTCTGACTCCACGGCCTCGGTAGTATCCGCTGGCGACCCAGATTCCTGCTCTTCCCCCATAGGTGGATCTAGCTCTGCAGCAGGTGTGATCTCAGTGGCCGGTGCCTCTGTAGCCTCGTCTGGTATAGTCTCTATGGTCTCAGGGTGTTGTGAGGGTGCAGATGTGGACTCTTCCACCAGCGTGGGAACCGTACCCTCGTCGGGCTCCACTTCGGAAGCGGTTGGCATGGACTGCTCCCCGGACTCTGCTTCTGTGGCTGATTCCTCTGCTGTCAATGGAGCTTCAGGCGCATCAGGAATTGGTTCCGCAGCATTCGTTGGCACGTTGTCAGGTGGAGCAACAGGCTCCACCGGTTTCTTGCTGCTTTTCTTCTTCTTTGCCATAACGGCCGCCAAACGTGATAGATCTTGTAAATAGCGTTAAAGGCAACAAAAACTCCCGAATCCTGCGCTGGAGTTTGCGCTTCTCACGTTGAGCTCAGATACTCGCAAAAATTAAAAAGGCGCCTGTTAACGGAGCATGACGACGGGGAACATGTCAAAAAACAACGAGCACGCGCGAAATCAGCATATAAGGAATGCGGCAGTGAAAAGAATGGAAGAGGATAGTACAAGCTGCAAACGCCTTCCCGCCCAATGGGAGATTGGCAGGGAAGTGCCAGCTCATCGTAAACTCGAGCGGTCTAATTTATATGCCCCGAGCGTTGCGTTACCAGCCATCGTATGCGACTTCGCGTGTCTGGTACAATTACGTCTATATGGTCTTGCTGCGCTGCTCACTCTGTACGACGATGGCGGCCAGCGACAGTGGACCGGCCACAGGCCATGGACCGAATTCTTTGTTGATGTTTACTGTCGGACAGCGATTCAACGAGCCGATATGCACGCGATGACGCCGCTGGGGCTCGAAAATTGAACCTCCTGCAGCAGTGGCAGGGAGGGCGTTGTGGCGGTCTCCGGTTGGACAAGTTAGCTGCATATGAGCCTCGAAAGGAGCGCACTACAGCGGGTGCTAGCGGGAAAAGAGCAGCGGTGTGTGTGAAGATGCAGAAAAGAGGTGCGTTGTCAACAGCCTTAGCAGCTCTTGGCCCCACTGTGGCTAGCGCGCTTGGGCCCGTGGAACTTCCTCCGCGCTCCGACGCGACGCAGCCTCGACACGGCTGCTGGACTCCCATCACGCGCTCTGCACCCCCAACCGGCCTAGCACTGAGCATGTCACTCTGCGTTCGAGTGCTCTCCAGGTCCATCAAACGGGGGCGGCATGGCTAAGCTTCGGGCCACGCGCAAAAAGCCGATCGTCGTCTCATCCGAGTCTGAGGCGGATGATTCACATACACCGCCTCCCGCGCGTCCCAAGAGGGGCACACTAACAGGCACCCGATCCCAGACACGTGCAGCCTCGCCCACGCGATCGCGAGCAGTTCCTACTAAGAAGTCTCCAGCCAAATCGCCGGCTAAAGCAAAGCCAGCATCCAAGCCTATCACTTCTTTCTTCAGTAACATACCGCGCTCGCAGTCGCTGCACCCCACGCCGAGCCCCGAGAAACCGGCCCTGTCAATTGAAGATGTAGACGATATCTTTGATTCCTCAGACGATGCGCCGTCCATCAAGCCCCCGAAGCCCCTCCCCGTTCGTAAGAGACCGATCGCTGCGACAGCGCCAACGGACCCTGCCAATGCTGTGAGCAACAGGCAGAAGTTCCTGCGAACAGCGAGCGGAGCGCGTAGTACAACACCGCTATCCACAACACCGATATCGTCCCAGCCAGCGCGGCAGGACACAGAAGACCGGCGGCCGTGGACTGAAAAGTACGGCCCGGTGTCGCTCGATGAGCTCGCTGTGCATAAGAGGAAGGTGGCGGACGTGCGGACATGGCTCACAGACGTCTTCAGCGGCAAGGCACGCAAGCGATTGCTGCTGCTCAAAGGCCCTGCTGGCAGTGGGAAGACCACCACCATGTCCCTGCTGTCCAAGGAACTGGGCATCCACATGCATGAATGGAAGAACCCTATAGGTTCCATGTCAACCTCCGACAGCTTTGTGTCTGCTACTGCACAGTTCGAAGAATTTGTTGGAAGGACTGGAGCCTTTGGTAGTCTGGCCTTCGATGAGCCGACAATGAGTGCCCAGACGGCTTCGTCGAACAGTCAGACTGAAAGGCAGAAGCAGCTGGTCCTAGTAGAGGAGTTTCCGAATACATTCACACGTACTTCTTCGGCCGTTCAATCTTTTCGCTCTTCCGTCCTCAACTATCTTGCTGCCAATACGCAATCAGCTACTGCTTTCTTTTCGACTCAGGTCGATCCCGAGCAGCCAGTGACCCCAATCGTAATGATAATATCCGAGACCCTGCTGTCTACCAACACGGCGGCAGCCGACAGTTTCACTGCACATCGGCTGTTAGGCCCTGAGATTCTGACCCATCCCGGCGTGTCTGTTCTCGAGTTCAACCCAATCGCCCCCACATACATGACAAAGGCGCTGGAAACGATTGTTGTCAAGGAGGCGCGCAAATCCGGGCGCAAGAAGACTCTAGGGCCACAGGCACTTCAGCGTCTTGCAGAACTTGGAGACATTCGCAGCGCTGTCTCCTCCCTCGAGTTCCTCTGCCTGCGAGGTGATGATGCGGAAGGCTGGGGCGCGAAGGTCAACCTCACGAAGAAGAAGGGCCCGAAAGACATCCCGATGACGAAGATCGAGCAAGAGTCGCTCGAAATGGTGACGCAGCGCGAAAGCACTCTCGGCATTTTCCATGCTGTTGGGAGGGTTGTGTACAACAAGCGTCTACCGGAAGACCCAAACACACCCGTGGCACATCCACCGAACTGGTTTCCAGAAAGGCGAAGACCGAAGGCCTCGGAGGTCAATGTCGACACGCTCATCGATGAGCTGGGTACCGATACCCAAACCTTTGTCGCTGCTCTACACGAAAACTATGTCCTGTCCTGCGGAGCTGCGGATAGTGAAGAGACTATGGACTCTATTGAGGGCTGTATAGAAGCTCTTTCTGATGCCGACCTTCTATCGCCGGACCGCTTTGGTGCTGGCGCTGGTCGACGGGTCCTTCAAGGAACTAGTGCGGACAACTTACGTCAAGACGAGATGTGCTTTCAGACGAGCGTACGCGGGCTTCTGTATAACCTGCCATATCCCGTCAAGCGCGTTGCACCGCCTCCAGGCATCATGGGCATCAAGGCGAAAGGCCAAGGAGCAAGTGGTGGAGCGACAAAAGGCAACGCGTTTGTCATGTACTATCCCGCGTCGCTGCGCATATGGAAACAGCAGGAAGAGATTGAAGGTGCACTGGAGATGTGGGTATCAAAGGCGCAGCGTGGTGAGCTCTTTTCGACAGGGTCAACTACATCGAAAGCAGCTTTCTCGAGCGGAGGAGTCGAGTCGTGGAAAGGCAATGCTTCGTTCTCACAGCCCACATCGGCTACCGGCTCGAAAGATGCCGAAATAGATGAGCCAGCTTCAATTCACCTAGGAAGCGGTGGCTCGGCGCGGAACGAAATGCTTCTGGAGCGTCTACCTTACATGACCACCATCTTGCGGAAATCACGCATGCCGAACCCATCCACAGCTGCCACCGTGCGCGAAATCCGGAAGATCACAGCCTTCACCGGAAACGCGCTGTCTAGTGCCACTGAAGAAGATGACGCTGAAGAAGACATTCGCCCTGGCGAACAAGAGCAGTGGTCTACGGACAAACCGACTCTGGAGACGCCGAGGAAGAGAGGACGGGTGAAGTTTGAGAGTAAGGCACAAGAGCCGGAAACAGCGATTGCTGGCTTAGCGGACAAAGGTGCTAGTCTCACGTTGAGTGATGATGATATCGAGGATTAATCGGATGATATGAGCATGTACTGTACTATGTATATCCAAAAGCGCGGCGCTCTAAACCTAGGCTAATACAATCCACCACGATACATCGCTATGGAGGCAAAGTGGGGTTTGTCCGCACCATCAACTGATCTCTTCGCAGCCAGAGGTATGCCGTCAAAACGGTGCTCGCCGTCAAAGTGAGTAGTAATGTAATGAAGATACTGATACCTTGGCGCACATTAAGCTCGACAGAATTGAGGGTGAAAAGTTCCGTGCTGAATAGTGATGCGACCAAGCTTGCGGGAAGGTACACCAGGGCAATGATACTTGCAACCTTCATGACTCTTGCGTCCTTTTGTTGAGTGGCAGCAAGCTGGAGCATTGTTCCAGTCTCCAGTGCTTGTGATGATGAGATAAGCTGTAGTTTGCCACTGTTCGTATGTAAAGTGTTGTAGTTGTGAAGATCGAGTATGCGTTGGATCTACCAAATTAGTTTTGTTGGTAGGCCGCGTACCGACAACGTACCAGTATATTTACACTGCTTACATTCTCGACTATGTCGCGAGCCTTGCGCATATGTATCGTTAGGTGACTGCTCATCTGTGCTATCTCTGATTTTAGGGTCGCGCAAAAGTCGTTCATATTGAGTTCGGAGTCCGGTTTGGCTTGTCTGCGGCCGATTTCTTCGATACACGATTGTAAGCAGAGTAGAAGGGACGCTGTCGCTTCCAATGCTAGATTCGCACGTCGCGCTTTTGACTGTATAACCTCGAGCGTCTGTGATTGAGCAAATCCAATGTTGTCAGACAGCACGCTGTCTTTAGGGTCAGGCTGACAAACAACCCTGACGCGCTGTAAAGTCGGGTCAGCCAGGAAGATTACAGTAAGAATTATCTTACAATGCCGCTCAGCTCATCACTTAGGTAATTGAGAAACCATCTCCATGATACTGTGGCAGACCTCAGCATTCTCAGGTGTATAGAGAGGGGCCTCAAGGGACAAGATGCCCCCTGCTGACAGCTGCCATCTCGAAGCCATTCGCGAGAAGCTTGCTGCGGTTGTACAAGCAGCCAAGATGATGTCTTCGATTCGCAATCGTACCTCTGGTGCACCGCGTATTTTCGGAAAGACCAGGGATCAGTTGGCCTGCTACGGCCGTGAAGGTCAACATATTGAACACTGTAGTTAATCTCTACCAGACGTTTCAGCTACTCATGCATTCGATACATGGGTTCTGGACAGCATTACCATAGATGAGGCTTCGATCAGCGGCGAAGTTAGAGAAGGATGGCGTAAAGTACTCATCCCCGTCCATAATCTTGAATCCAAAGGACGTCAAAATCTCCATGAAGACTGGGTGAATTTGTAGATGGTGGTAAAGTAGCTGGAACATCTCGAGAGAAATCCTCAGACGGCTCCATGAGCCTTTCTGTGTAACAATACTTGACGAATGTTAGCGAACGATCAAGGTAAAGACGTATGATACGTACAATACATGATCACAGCGATTCGATGCGAAAGTATGCGAAACATCAGCTGATCATCTAATCACCTTTCACTGCTGGCGTACGAACACTGAATACAGTCGAAAGATCTGCTTCTGATCTCAACACAAGACCCACCGCTAATACTTTACGTCAGCAGAAGATGGTGATATGCGTAGTAATGCTTGGAGGAGAGCATACCTGGACCTTTGCTACGGGGGATGTATTCTAGTGACACCTCGGATGCGTTCTTAACAAAGAGGTCTTTGGCCTTGCTTTCGAGCAGCTTTCTGAACTCAGCCGTGTCTTCGATGAGGCGAGCGTTTCTTTTCCCGGTTGGCAGGGGGCCCATTCCAGCCGTCGACGTCATTGAGGAGGGGGTCAAATCGCTGGAAGACGGACGTTCCATACAATAGTGCATTCTTTAGGCAAGATTTGAGCGATGAGAAGAAGACATTTTGAGACTTAGGCTTTCATTATGCGGAAAAGATGCTCACCTTTATTTCGTTTTGGGACTGGGCGACCTCACGAACAGGGGTGTGAGCTTCCTACCGATGAGTTGTTCGCACGACTTCCGCCCTCGTCCTGAGGCGCTCGCTACCCGACCAAGTAGGTGTAAGCCTGGAATTCGCCTACAGGAAGGCAACTGTCTGCCTGCTGCTTCGCCACTTCCAGACTCTAACATCAAAATTTGCCCCATCATCTCCCATGCTTATAGTCGACGATGCCCACCACCTATATCCCACAGAGATACGTTGACTACGGTTTGCTTGTAGCTTTGCTAGCGGCCAACTTTCCTGCAGGCACATATACTGTAACGGTGCGCAGCTAAACCTACTATTTACATGTCGCAGAAGGCTGACGGTCACAGGAAAGCAACGATCAGGTTGTGATCACCGCGCAGAGGGTCTTGACACCGGTGCCGTACCTCCGTTGTTACCCACTTTGCCCCGACTAATGCTGGACAGGATGAGATAAAGAGCGTTTCCACATCATAGTGATTCACGAACGAGTTCAACGAGGGCTAGTCTCAACAGCTGTCGTGTGGTGTGGTGTACCCCACCTATACGACCTGGGTACAGTACTGCCCCACCACCAGTTTTCCAGTATCCACTATTTGCAGGCCAAATACAACTATTGGTTGTTCTGTTGGTATCCCCGTGAATTAGTGCTCGCGAACGTTCAAGCTAGGCCCGCGTTTGCCCACCCTGCGATATGGGTTCTGTCACCCAAGCCACTTGCGCACGCATTGCTCAACTTAGGATTACAGGCTCGCGACCTTTTGTGGACATTTCTGGTATTGCTGGGTTATTCAACAATGGCCAAGCGGCGTCAATTTTGCGGGAATATAACGCAGAGCCTCATCACGTTCTCACATACAGCCGCTTCATTGAGAAGGACGCGCCCAACATCTTTGCCGCGCTCGTCTGGCTGCAGCAGCCGCTATCCATCGTTACCCTATTGGAAAACAAAATACACGACAACCAGCTACCGCTTGACCTGAAGACATTGCAACAGGTTCTGGACGAAAGTCAGCTTAGCAATCAGTTTTTTGAAATCCAGTACGAATATGTACCCCACTTTTTTCGAAGAGGGCTCCACCTCAACATTGTTGATGAGAAGGTTGTACTGCCGTTCTGTTCAGTTGAGAAGCTCTCAGAACTAAATGGCAGTTATGGCTTTATGTCAAAAGTGTCGATATGTGCTACCTTTCACGACTTGAGTGAAAATTTGGTGCGTTTCAACACTGGGCTGGTGTCATATGTGTGCTGACAAGTAGCGCCCTCTAGGATGTGGCCCAGACCTTCATCCGGAAAGAAGTACGCCTACAAGCTGATCCAAATCTACCCGGAAGCTTCCAAATCGAAAAGAAGAACTTGCAGCTTCTGCATTGCATCAAGCATGAAAACATCGTCGAACTTCTCTGCTCATACAGCATCGGTACAGGTACCAACAAGAGACATTTCTTGATCTTCAAAGAAGAACCAATGAACCTTAATCAGTTCTTCGAGCTTTCCAAGGCGCCCGGTCAATTCTCGCATGCCGAGACGTACTATTTTGCACTACAAGACCTCGCTTCCGCGATCCACAGCATCCATAAGTTCAAACTGAATCAGGCGACATACTCGGCAGATTACACACGGATTGGGTCTCACAGAGATCTCAGACCACACAATATCCTCGTTCGAGCAAACACCATGCTGATTGCTGATCTCGGGCTAGCGGACTTCAAAGATCCAGACCAGGATCAAGGATCAAAAACTCTTTGGAAAGCCGGAAGAGGAGACTACATCGCCCCCGAATGCTACGGAGATAAGTTCTCTCGCCTCGTAGTAGGACGTTCGCTAAATATATGGGCATTTGGTTGCATGATCGTCGATGTAGCTACCTACATGACAGGAGGTAGTGCTGCATTGAGGAGCTTTTGTGATTCGAGAATGAGTCTTTGGCGCAACCCTGTCAGCAATGGGTTCTTCTTCCATGAAGAGACCCTCAAGGTTGGCGTTATGAACCAGATAGCGGCTCTGGAACAAGATGAAGATGATCCAGCATGCTCTGTGTTGATGGACGCTGTTCGAAAGATGCTTGTCCTCTTACCCGAGGATCGCTCTTCATCCTTGGATGTTTGGACAAGCATGCAACACGCCTGTTTGACCAAACTAAGCCATCAAGTAAGTCTAGAGCTGGAGAAGTACAACAATCTATTGAGGTCTAGCGGCGATAAAGGTCCATCTCAAACAACTCTCTGGTTTGACATGGCACGACTGTGCTCATGGCAAGAGGTAGTCGGTGTTGCTGGGCGGTCTACCTGGAGCTCGTTCAATTCCGTCCGAGAATCTGTCAACGTCAAAGACGCCCAAAGCCAGATGTTTACAGCATGCAACCTTACCAAGGTGCAACACAGCCGAATAAGCACTTCGATCAAACTCGGAGATGAGGACGACCAGGTTGCTAGTCTCCATCTAAGCTTCCAGGAGAAGCTCACAGGACACGTACAAAAGCTATTCGACCTCCTCCCAACACGATTACAGAAACGAGCGGATAATTGGTGGACACAGCAACTTCTCAATGGAACTGCCGAGAAGGACCTTACTAGTTTGGCTACCGAGAGTTCTGTATCCAACAATCATCTGGTTCGTGAGATTGGAAGTAGAGCTCAAGTAAAGAAATGTTTAAAGGCGGGCTCAACGAACTCAGGCACCGATATCGATGAGTCAAAGTTCTCTCTACGACTAGACAGACTCTCCGGTTATCTTGAGCATGGTGCGCGCCAATATGCGTTTTACGAAGATGGCGTCAGCTCTGTAGCTGTCCTCGTAGAAGACATGCTTATCAAGGGGAGCGGAGGCGAAAGGCTTAGCGAAGAGGAAGAAATAATTCGCAGAGTAAACCTAGCGAGACTACTTGCAACACCAAACAAGCCACCCAGCTTCCACGTATTAGACTGTATCGGTTTCATCGACGGTGGTTTCCTTCAGCCAACCAAGTTCTTTCACAGATTACCAGATGTTTACCAACTACCCACTGGAAAAGTCTCGGAGACTCTGATGCCGCAAGATTTGTTCTGGCTTCTCAAAGGCGAAGTTCCCCCTCTGGAGCAAAGAATCGCCTTATCACAAGTGCTTGTGACAAGTCTTCACTCACTGCATCTAAACGGCTGGCTACATAAGTCTTTAAATTCGAAAAACGTTCTCCTCTTCCCTGATACATCCGGCAACTTTGATCTAGCTGCGCCCAGGATCGTGGGCTATACGCAAAGCCGGCCAGATGGTGACATCTGGAACTCTGCCGGATATGAGGGCACATCCCCAGGCAGTCTATCCCGTTGCATCCACCCGAACTACACCAGTCAGAGGCGATGGGAAGGGAAAGCAAGATTTCGAAGAGTCTACGATTACTACAGCATGGGTATCATTCTCTTGGAGATCGGCCTTTGGAAACCATACAGAGCTATGCTGAAGCTCAAAACTGGACCCGAGGACAAACTGTTCCTAGAGTATGCACCGCGTCTGATTTCATTTCTAGGATCGGCATACGCCGATGCAGTCACGAAATGTCTCCAGATCGCGTTCAAGGAAGACACGCCAGGGGCCAGTGCGGAAGGTCAGCTCAATGAGTTCTACAATGATGTTGTGGAGCCTATAATGGAGATGAAGGTGTAGGAAAGGCAGGGGAGACATCAGACTGCTTTACATTTCATGTTTGTAAACATGACTCTCTCAGTGTATGAATCGATCATATCTCATGACTTTGTGATCTTGCTCTCCAGCTCATTGATCTCTTCTAACGTATCCACGACGTCAGGATGATCTTCCGACCAAAGCTCTCTCCGAGTCTCAAGCACAAGCTTGTGTAATTTCAGACTCTCACAATAATTCTCCAGCCGATCGTATATTTGAGCTAGGATACTTTGAGCGTTAGATAGACCCTCTGGATCGTTCAGGTCTGGCCTCTTCCTGGAATTGACAGCTTGTTTAGCCATGACCAGAGCGTCATCATACCTCGCGACGCTCCGATCCCCATAAGACGCTGCAAGGTTCATCTTGAGGTTGAGAATGATGGAGTCGTCGGGGTGCAGGCCGTCTTCAGCCGCGGCCAAAGTATCTTCCTCTAGCGCTATTGCTTTGCCTATCTCGTCCGCGTCATGATAGTAGGACGCAAGATTGCTAGCTGCTATCAATGTCTCGCGGTGCGAAGGACCAAGCGTATCCTTTGATGAGGCTAGAACGTCTTCTTCCAGCTTAATCGCACCCGGCAGCTTGCCTCGCTCGGCGTACACATTTGCAAGCATAGTTTCGCATGCCAAGGTCTCGCGGTGCCCTTTTCCAAGCATACGCGAGCGATCTTCGACTGTTTGAATGAGTAGTTCCTCTGCTAGATCAAGGTCGGCAAGCTTCCAATGGCAGATGGCGAGGTTGTACATCGTGTCCAGCGTGAAAGGGTGCGTGGGACCAAGAAGAGTGAGTAATGGTTCATATACTTGGAGGTCCAGTTCTCGGGCATCTTTGTAGCGGCCACATTCGTGAAGCACGAGTGCCAGATTGGTCTTAGATCGAAGGGTGTCAGGGTGCTTTTCACCCCTCACGCGTGTGTACGCAGCAACACAGCGCTCAGCAAGCTCGGTGGCTTCGCGCACTTGACCTCGTTCGATCAGACTCGTCGAGAGGTTCATCATACAGTCTAGGGTATAAGGATGGTCTTTCTCAAGCGAACGCTGACATCGAAGTAAAGCTTTTCTTTCCAGAAGTTCGGCCTCATGGGTCCGGCCTCTCATCTCATGAAGACGAGCTTCGTCCATGAGGCTCAACAAGGTGTCCTGGTTATCAGGGCCCAGGATAGAGTGCCGCAGTTTTGAGACATATTGAATATGCTCCTCCGCTTCATCGTACTTTCCGAGTTCAATGAGCGTCTGGGTAAGTGTCGAGATCATCTGTAAGGTGACGGGATGCTCTGCTCCGAGATGCTGACGTTGGTACTCAACAATCTCATGCTGTATCACAGTAGCTTCGTCCCAGCGCCCCAGATCAGCAAGCGCCAAGCCAAGCTGGTTCTTGAGCACTATCGTTTCTCCAGTTTCCCCGACCTCCAGCTGGGCAGAGTCTCTCAGGGCCTTGCGAGTCAGATCTTCCGCCTTTTGCCAGTTTCCCCTACGGTGCTCGGCTTCCGCAACCTGACCCGTGAGGAAAATGTAATCATGATGGTCGACATCTTCTCGAGCAAGGTCGGCGGATTCGAGACACTTGTTGAGCATAGTCCAAGCAGGCTGGATTTGTCCCTGCTCCCACAGTAAGTTCGCAAGATTAGCTTTCATGTGAATGATATGAGTGCTTGTCGGCCCTAGCGATTGCTCCATGCTCTCCACTTCTTGTTTCATAAGTTCAGGAAGATCACTTGCTGCGGGTACATCGCGGAAAGACTGCACGATATCCAGAGGAGGAATAAGTCCGGATTCGAGCGAAGTGCGATATTGTCCCTCAAAGTATACGATGCCTTTGATCTCCATGGCTTTGCGCAATTGAACTTTGATATCTTCGAGGTTCGCGTCAGCCTCCCCTAGATGGAAGTCGCGTTGCTCAGGATCGTATAGGCCACCAAATCCGAGATGACAGCAACAAGCAAGCTCGAAGTGTGTTCGCTGGAGGACTTTTGGTCGGGTCTCTTTCTTGATGATATCTTCCATACACTGCCTAATGTACGATCGCACTCGAAAGTCGACTGCTAGCAACTGCGTTAAAGCTGCTATGAGGTGAAAGTCGATCGTACTCATAGTACTACCAGTTGGAAATGGAGCAACTTCGAAGTCCTGCGATGTGATCGTGTCTGATGACTTGATGCCAGGCTCCAGCAAATCGACGATAGCTGAGCTTGTCGCTCGATCGGCATTGCTTTGAGCTAATGTAATTGCAAAGAGACGCTCAAGTAATTCGATCTGATCGCCTGTCGCCCCTAGTTCAGAGTCTCTCGCAAGCTGAAGACACAACTCCGGCATAGAGCCCCCAGACTTTGTGGCCTTGACCTGATCCTCGCTCGGAAAAGCAGCCAGATGGTTGAAGAGGGTCCAAAAGCATGTCATACCGAATGAATAGATCTCTTCCAGGACTGCCTCCTCAAAGGTGTAACCTTCTCCATGGCGGGAGGGACTGGACCAGTACGGCGCAGCGGCAAGTAAAATTTGATCTCTTATGAGGATCTCTTCTTTGCTCAACGGGTTCTCTGCGTCGTAGATGCTCAATGTCGATGTCGCAAAACCGAAGTCCGTGATTTTTGCAAGCAAGCCAGTTGTTGGATTATCGAATAGAATGATGTTATCTGGCTTTATATCGCCGTGGATGATTGCTTTCATGCGTTAGCATTCTCAGAATGTGTCTCGTGTAGATCATAGTCACCATTTCTGTGAAGGGTGTTAAGTCCCTTGGCGATATGCAAACATATCTGCAATCTCGTAACAAGGTCTAGCGTAATTGAACCAAGCATATGAGAACTCTCCATAACAGTTCTGACGCTACCATACTTGGCTTTCTCGTACACAAGCACTGGCCATACCTCCCCATTTGGCTCGATATCCCAGCTGACGCCTTCCAAATGGGCTAGAAAATTGCTCTTGACGACATCGTAATGCCTGGCGGTCTCGAGCTCAGATACTAAAGTGCGAAACACAATGCCTTCTGCAACCTTCGCTTCATACTGAGGGAAGTGTCGAGGATGAACGCGTTTGAAGAGAAGGCTGAGATTCTGGCTGATGAGACGCTCGCGCAGGGTTGCAGTGCCACCAACGCCAGCGTCATTCAATGCCGAGTTCCATGTGATCGGCAGGAAATCCACAGAGAGTAGTTGCGCCGCGCCAAGAAATACGATGAGCGTATATTTCGAATCAGGCAAGGCTGAGCCAAGTGTGGTGTGGCGGCCAAATCCAAAGTACGGACTTGAAGGGGCCGAGGATCCGATGAAGACAGACATTGCAACACTAGATGACAGCGCCAAAAAATCTGGCACGAAAGCCTTCTTATCAGCCGCGAACAAGGCTGAACGAGCGATGGTGGTCACGCATGTGCGCGCATGATCGCATTGCATATGCATGATGATGTGCCCTAGGGCTCTGCCTTTCTGTGGCTGTAATCAGCTAAGCTGACGGCATATACGCGCTCGAAGGGGTCGGCCAGCCTCCTCAATGGAGCCACGCACCATATTTTCAGCCTTTCTAGGCATGAAACTTTTCGAACGCCGTCTGATCCATTGTCATCTCCGCACCTGTCGTAGCTACATCAACCCCGTCACCAGAACTTCAGCCGGTCAAACAACGATCTCTCCTTCCGAGCTTTCCTGGCGGCTTCAGCAGCATCAGCGGCGTCTTTTGCTAATCGCACCTTAGCTTAGCTGAAGAACACCCAACATACGCAAGACGACAGCAACACAAACTCACCATCAAGCTCTTTTGCAACTCTTTTCATAGCTTCCAAAGCCTTCTCAAAGAACGGTTTCAGCTCTAGATGCTCAGCACCGAATTCATGCCCTCTGATCTCATACTGCTTGAACCAGGCCTCTAGGGAACCAATTGGCGAGCGGCCGGGCGGATCCCGAGAAGGAAGCCTGGGGTCAGCCCCGGCTTCGAGGAGCAGATGGACGATAGGGAGATTTTGCTTGAGATGGGCAAAGTCGGCAGGCCAGCCATCTTCGATTGCACAGTCTAGCGGGCGGCCTACACCGCGGGGGCGCGTGTCGACTTCGTTGGGAGAGAAGCCTTCGGATAGAGCAGCGCGCATGGCGGCAAGGCGTGTTTCGATGGGCTTATAGGATATCGGCTGCGTTAAGAGGGGGCTGACTACCATGGCGGCAAGTTGGGCTTCGCTGGCAAGAGTTGAAGACGTGCATGGGAGTGCGACCAAGGACGGTGTTTGTAGGTATTTGCGCGTCATAAGTCGCGCTGAATTGCGGGTGTAAAGTATGTCGCTACTGTCGGGTCCTTGCCCCTGGCGGGCTCGCTGCAGCCCGCGCAATTGCGACGTAGCCAGAAGGGCTTCGTGGTAGCGAAGACACCTAAGGCACCATCTACTCCAGCTCTACTTTGTAGAAAGAATAGCCTGCATACTTAAGTATTAAGGGTAGTAAGGGCTGGACTAGACGCGGTAGTAACAGGCCTGTCTAGGTGATATCTGCCTAGGGAGGTATTGTGGTCGGCCCACACGTTCCGGCCGCCTGCCGCCTGGCGCTAATATCAGAATATTCTTATAACCTCGCTACTGACTTTGGTATTAATAGCCATCGATATGGTTTTTGAAGCCCGCTGCACGTTCTTGCTGTGTTTAGGTTGCGGAAGTTGTGAGTGTTTTATTTCGCTCTGCGTCATCGCAGGCACGTGCACGTAAGTAGGCGAGGCACAACCTTAGAAGATGTCGCGTGTCGCATGTTAACGTTGGGGAGTAAACTACCCTACAGTCTATCACGCACATTGCGAGCGTGTTTACTCTTTAATTCACGACATCGACGCCATCATACTAGTGTAATTGTTCGTGCAGAATGACTCCATCCTCGGTCGTGGAGGGCCGAGGCCGAATCACGCTACTGCTCGCCCGCTTCCCGGTGCCGGCAATTGCACCATGCCAACATCTCGGCCAGCGGTCCTCTTCCTACTCCACATCTCGCTCCCACACCCCGAAACTCTCGGATCTGGGCACCGAGTTTCTCAGACGCGCAAGGGCACGATCCCAGCCATGCAAGCGTATGTCTTCGTAGCCCATTACCCGGTCGGTCACAACGCGTCTCGACGCGTATAGAGCGCTAACGTCGACGTGCAGGTGCGATCACTGTCATGAGAGGAAGGTTCGATGCGACAAGCTTCTCCCGTGCCGACGATGCAGCTTGAATGGATCAGAATGCCGCTATACAGATCGGACCAAAGCACGCACCTATAGCCAGGCCCACGTAGACACGCTTGAACGAAGAATTAAGCGCTTAGAAGTTCAGAACAGGACTCTTGTGCAACAAAGGAGGGCAGACTCAGTATCCTCTACAGGCCAAAATTCCGCCCCCAATGTCCAAAGTAACCATTCCAGAAACGACAGTGGCACTTCGCAGCGTCGTACATCTACCGACGTCGCGGGTGAAGTGTCCTACCTCTCGATCAATGCGTCCGGAGAAAGGAACTATCTGGGGTCCTCAAGCGGCATACTTCTCGCGAACTTCATCAGAGCCAATGTGGACGTTGAAACTTCAATGCCGTCGACAACTACACCTGTTGACGCTGATGCTATCAACGCGACTGCTTCGGCTATTGAGTTTGCTCGAGACTTACCATCTGAACAGATAGCGAGCAGACTTGTACTGTCCTATCTCAACCATGACCACTTACGCTACCCTGTGGTCCTCCCTGCTACTCTCGGTGCGATGCTTTCGGAAATATATAGCTCGAACGCGACTTCCTCCACGCGCTCCGCAAGCGAAACCTTCATTTTCGACATGGTTCTTGCTATCGCGACAGCCAGCATCTGCCGGTCCGATTGGCAAGGGCTACCAAGTGCTCATACTCATTACATACGGGCGATGAAGCGAGCCTCGACCGTCTTAGAAAAGGGCGGGCTCGGTGCACTTCAAGCAGTTATCCTGTTGATTCAGTATCGCATGAGCAGTTCCATGGAAGATACCTCAGCCAGTATGTTGCTACACCTCCGTACATCAGAGTAGACCTTGCCTGATCACAAGAGCCATCTAATAATTACACAGGCATGTGGCATCTGGTAGGAGTGGGAAGCAGAATTGCCCTGGAACTTGGCCTTCACTGTGAAACTGCATATCCTTACAAACGCTCGGATGACTCTACAAGTAATGCAGACTTAAGTGCCGATCTTGTACAGCAGGAAGTTTCCCGGCTTTGCTTTTGGAGCATTGTGGCTATGGACAGGTATGTTAGGCAATTGTGACGCGAGCATATGCCAGAGGGTCGACTAGCTGACAGCATAGTAGAATAGTCAGCAACATACTTGGCAGACCTCTAGCAATTCACAACGACGACGTAGATGCGGCACTACCGTCTGACCTATGTGACGAGATCCTGCTTTCTGGACTCGGAACGCCCATGGCCGAGCACCTGGTCAAATGCCGCCGCATACCAATTTTCGTTCAGATCATCAAGTATCGCCTACTGTGTGGTGATATCATCCAGACTTTGCACAGTCACCGTCGAAGAAACCAGTTGGATGATGAACTCCGCCGCCGTAGAGATGAATTCGCTGCCGACCTCAGAGTTTGGCGGCTGAATGCCGAAACCGTCGCTCATTCGGGTTCCCTGGATGAAGGCAGGCCTTCATCTTGCTTCACCTCACCAACTTGGTTCGAGATGATATACCATAACGCCGTGCTAATGCTCCATCGACCATCGCCCACACTGGACACGTCAAGAGACTCAGTTGCAATACAAGCGATTTTCGCCTCCTCTCAGGCTTCCATATCCTCGTATGCCAGTCTTCATCGTATGGGGCTCTTGAATCACAGCTGGCTTTCATTACAAGCTTTGTTTATGGCAGGGTTATCATATGTGTACGCTGTAACGATGCACTACCAGGCCATTCGGAGACAGCAAGGTCAACGACTAGGTGGTCTGCTGATCAGAAATCCAAGCACTATGGAAGTGATTAGTGATACACGAACATGCTCAAACGTCCTTGTAGCGGTATCGGAAAGATGGAAGTCGTTGCAACGCTGCGTCGATGTCTTCAACAGGCTGAGCGATGCTATTCTAATCGACGTTATCAAATTCAGCACACACCCCATCGCCGTCACCACCCCTGCGGCCAACAGCACAGAAGACAGTGCCCACCAGTGCAGCAACCGGTCGGAGCTGGCGGCGAATACAGACTCCAATGTGTTGGGCCAGCCTCACTGGATGCACCCACAATACCTTCAGCCTGTCGGAACCGATGGAATGGTGTCTAATGCATCCCCACTGGCGATCGAAAACGAATTCAAGGGCTCTGCGTACGATCTACGACAAATGTACAATCAACAACAAGTCGACATGTCCGTGTATCGGTTCTCTCAGGCGTGGTTCGACAGCTTCGACTTGTACGGTGGTATGGAACCTCAGCTCGCCGACATGACAATGGATACGCATTTTTGATGTCAGCATGCTCCCACCGTTGCCTAAGCTGGCCTCGCGTGAGGCTGCCCGCTTTTGCGCGGGGTGAAGCAATCAAACGACAGTTTTGAGCGTGCCGGAAATTGGCCACAATCGATTAACTGGAATTATTGGCGCCACAATCACCACACATCTGTCACGCTTGCGGCTCACGGAAGATGCGGTCGCTGTAGAATAGTTATATTTGCATCTTTCGGCGTGGGTACGCCGAGCGGCGTCGTTGCCAAGCAGTCCACCGGTAGTCTTGCTCGGGGCGGCGTCGCCGAGGGGTGGTGACCCGCCACTGCGAGTCAGCGCTTCGGAGCGGGACTGCCAAAGTTGGGATCTTAGCGCCTCAAGCCTGACTTTCAGGTCGATATCTGGTGCGAGGACGCCATTATCCGGGGCGACCCCATGGGGCGATAGTATTCGAT